GTTACCCAAATGATCCAGCACGCCGTGATAAAAATTTCTCTGAAAATTGGACTTCCAAAGGATGTTCTGGCATCAATAATCATATCTAGAGGTGGCAAATTTTGGTTCCAACATATAGGGATACTGTTCCAACATGCTGTACTGAAATGGCATTCAAAAAACAGATGCATGCTAGTTTCCTCACAGTCAGAGTTACATAAGACACAATTGTAATTTTCTAGATCCATATTCTTCCTCCTTAATAAGTTCCTTGTGTTGATTCTATCCCTGAGCAAGAGCCAAAAGAACTTATGTTTACCAAGGTTGCTGAGGCCCACATCCAATTGAAGAGTGGAGAAGTTTCTGTGTGACCAATCATAATTTTGTAAGCCTTCTTACTACTATACTTGCATGATCCCCAAGAATAGCACCATATGTCCTTTGTATCTGCATTCCAAGGCCTTTTATAAGTCATTCTCTCTTATGCTAAACTTCAAAATACTGATTACATCACATTGTTGCAGGAGGAACAAAGCTTTGGTCGGTGAACTAAGCAAACCTCCACCTGAATCGAAGGACTTTACTTCCCAACCCAGTATTCGCAGTCCTTCCATGCACAATGCATGGCTTGCCTGTGGAAACAGAACAAGTCATATTGGAGAAATCCTTCATATACTGCAATGAGAATCTTCTTCACGACAGTTGTTGCCCTCATATTCAGCACCATCTTCTTGAACTTTGGCAAGAAAGTGTAAGTAACTCAAACTGAAACTCCAATTTCTGTTTAAGTTTAGGCTTATAGTTGAGTAACAAATAAAAATTTCGTTTGAACTTTCCTTTTCAGAAACAAGAGGCAGGATCTTTTCAATTCTTTGGGTTCCATGTATGCTGCTGTCATTTTCATTGGAATGCAGAATGGCCAGACAGTGCAACCAATTGTAGAAACTGAGCGAATGGTCTTCTACCGAGAAAAGGCAGCGGGAATGTACTCTGCTCTACCCTATGCTTTTGCACAGGTAAACATTACTGGTTTCGGTTGAATGCTTGAATAAAAAAGTAAAGCCTGCATTGTTTCTACTTCAACTGCTTGATAGACTTACTACAATGTTAACCATTAAACAGGTTCTTATTGAGATCCCACACATCTTCCTCCAGACCGTCGTGTATGGGCTCGTTGTCTATATCCTGATTGACTTTGACAGGGAAGTCGAGAAGTTCTTCTGGTATATCTTCTTCATGTTCTTCACTTTCATGTACTTTACGTTTTGTGGGATGATGGCAGTTGCCGTGACACCCAGCAGCGAAACTGCTGCTATACTCTCGACTGCATCCTATGCTATATGGAACATCTTTGCGGGCTTCTTAGTTCCCTGGACCGTAAGTTTTTTATAACTTATATTCTTTCCCTTGCACTACATTAGCTGTCATACTTAAGTAGACACAGCTTGGATTTCAGAGGATGCCAATATGGTGGAGATGGTATGCCTGGGCATGCCCAGTGGCATGGACACTGTACGGGCTTGCTGCTTCACAATATGGAGAATCTAGAGAGATGCTGAAATGCTGAAAGAAGGTGAAATGGTAAAAGATTATGTCAACAGGCTTTTGGGATACAGGCATGCAGCCTGTTCGTTTCGGCTTATACGATCGTGGATTATGAGCTGGAACAGTATTTTTCTCTCACACCAAACCAACCAGCAGTACTTCTGGCTTATAATCCACGATTGTTTCAGCCGAAACGAACAGGCTGATCACTTGCCTTGTGCAACTGGTGCAGTAATTGGATTCACTATCCTTTTTGCTTCCAGCTTTGCCTTCTCCATCAAGGTCTTCAATTTCCAAAGAAGATAATAAGAGAAGTCGTTTCAAAGAAGTCAGCTTTTCTTCAACTTTGCTACTGATGCCAATAGATGTAATTTCTCTGAAAGAAATGGTGAACAACTGAAAATGCATGCATGAACCCCGTGACAAAGGTGTTTGAATGGAACATCTCCATTGGCCTTGTGCATTTTGTAAACCTAATTTTGTTTTAACATACTTAGATTATGTGAGCATAACTTGTCTAAGAACTAGCTGAAAAACAAGCGTTGAGTAGAAAAAGACATGCTAAAACTGACAAGAAGAATGCCTATTCTGGTTCTTTGGAGACACCAGTGATTTGGATCCTACAGGGCAGCCTGTTCCATCTTCCATAGTTCTGATCCTAATGCTGAGACTTGCCGCCAATCTTAGTTCCTATATGAGGCACAAAAGTAGAAGGATCGGTAATCGGCATACAGATTCATAATCTTGGCACTTGATTCGTGCTTGTAAAAACTTTGGTTTTCAACCGCAGATCTGTAGGAACTTGTTCATCTTCTTTTTGGACAGAATTATCATTTGTATCTTGTGGCATAACTGCAGTATCTTTGTTCTTCAATTCACTTCCAAAAACTGAACATTTTGGTATCTCCCATCCAACCAACACACTGGTATTGAAGCCGATGAATACAGACTACAGAGTCGCCAACTATTGCTGCCAAGGAGGGACAGAGCGAGCAGGTTTTCCAGGATCACAGTAACTTTCCGAACCCTGTCGGCAGCCAGCAGCAGCAATGGCCTTCTGTTCTGCTGCAGCCGTCCTTCCCCGCAGTGAATGCCACCGGGCACTTGGATGCGGATGTGGTTGCGTTGGCTCAGTCGTCCCCTGTGCCAGGCTGCCGGCGGCAGCAGCTGCGCAGGCATAAATTCCATGCCAGGATAAGCGTATCTGCGAGCCGTAGCATTGTTCCCAGAGGCGCACAAGCAAATTCCTGCCCCGCCTTACTGTTCTGAACTCTGAAGCGCCTTCATTTCGTAGCAGCGGCGTGCCAGGACATCAATTGAGACGTCAGAGTGTCCATGGGACGGCCTTGTGAATTCTGTGAGCTGAATCTTTCAAGCATCGCACTAGTACGCTGCATGAATAAAGATCAGACAGCTGTAATTTCCTGGAGAGAGTCGATGGATCCCTTCCTTCCTCGTGTGCGATGCGACCGCGCCTCTGATCCTCGCTTGCAACCGCTGCTCCAACGGCGATACAGGGGGCTTCTGGATCAATAAACATCGACAGCGAAGGAAACAGAAAGACACACATGGAGTCAGACTGCCTCAACCCGGGATGCAATGGAACATGAGGGAACGAACGAAACACAAACACGCACGCGGAGCCTGACGAACGAACCGGAGACGGAGACGGAGACGGAGCAGTCGCCGGAAAGATTCCGTGCCTGACGCGACCGGAAGGATTGACAGGGACGTCGATCCTGTGGGCACACAAATACTGTGGTCGCCGCTGCTGTTTGCTTGTCCATCTCGTAGGCCCATAGCCTCTTGGAGTACGTCTTGGACAAGGAAGTCTCGCATTATCTTTTATATCTTGGAAAAAAGAGAACAATCTCGCATATATATCTTAACCTGAAGCAATCATCGACGCCGAGTAGGGTCGCAGAAACCGGCATTAGTCAATCTGAAACGACCCCGGCACAAGTTCGGCATCGCGTTCGGTTCTCCGTTTTGTCACACTATACGCAGCTAGCTAGGGCGCGGAGGGCAGGTGTGTGACAGATTGATCGCGTCTGTGATGCAACCAACGACGGACAGGCTAAGATTAGGAGTAGTACCGGTAGACTAGCTAGGCTAGGCAGCGCGTGGGACGGTGGGAGTCTCCTTCTGGGAGACGCCGCGACGGTCGTCGTGCGTTCGGTACACTGATGCATCTTTGCCGTGCCAAGGGTGACGTACGCGGTCATTAGGTACTAGGGCCCAAGCATGCCTCAATGTACGGTACGCCACCAGGTTGTCAGAGAGTGTGTAGCAGCAGCCACTATCGGACAGTTCCCTGGGCGGCCACGGTTCCGGCCGGTTTCAGTTGCCCGTCAACATCGCGCTCGCAAGCCCGTGCTTGAATTTCCTGAGAGATCGGCGCGGTGCAACGCAATGACTTGGTCGTCAATCCAACTGAACATGAGGATCCAAGCCAAGCCTGTGCGTGTGCCGGATGAGCACTCGCTCGCCGGTCAATTGACGACGACTTTCTTAGGCACGGTTACTAACCCTTCAGCTTAAAATCAGCACAGGAAAACGATGCCGCGCGACTTCTACTGTCACCTCTGCCCGGCACGCCTTCACCCACGCACCTCCACGGACCAGCAGTGTCCAGCCTCGGATACTATTCACATGAACAAGTCAACAGTACTTCTCCTTCACATAAAGAAACCAGTAACGATACGAACAGCCAACCCAAACTCTGGACGCGGGGGCTGACCGAGCTCGCGTGAGCAGGCACGCGACACGGCGCAGCGTTGGCGATGCACGGAAGCATGTTATGTCAGGAGGCCGGAGGAGGCCATGCTGCTGGGCCAACCAACAGGCGTATAGGCGTACAGAGAAGCGATGTACATAGGCCAGCCAGCCAGCGCAAGTATAGCAAGTGGCGTCGCCATCGGCACAAACTCCCCGGAGAGCGAGAGGCACGTACGGGCGGGGCACCACCACCCGAAATTAACAAACCAACCGCTAACCAAAAGGACACGGCACCAGTGATCGATCATCCCTTGCCGATAGCCCTGACGGCCATCGGCTTTGACCGTTCAGCTGGATCGTCGTCGTGTTGCTTCCCCCAACCATGCATGCATTCATCCAGCTAGCTAAGAGATCGACCTGATCATGTCCCTTACAAAGTTATTACAAAGAGTAAAAAAAAACAATAATAATGCGATTAATTAATAATTCCATCGCAGCGCGGCCATGATCCGCCGCCGCACTCGCAGAGTGCAGACACGACACACAGATGTTAGCTAGCTTTCTTGGACGCAGCCTGTGAGGCCAAATCACCAATAAACAAGGGTAAGAAAAAAACTTACAGGAAGAGAGGCAGGGAGCAGAGAACGTGGACATGGAGGAGTAGCTAGTAGTAGGGAGACGTAGCTCGTGGTCGTCGTTAAGAAGCATTTAACCACGGCTTAATCTAGCGATCGCGATAGATAACTAAACCAAACGAGCTAGGGTAGGTACATGCTGGGGTCCAGGACGACGTCCGTCCAGCAGCTCCCGGCATTCCAGTACGCCGCGGCTGACGCGGCGTCGCCGAGCTCGAATATCCCAGCGGCTTCCAGGGACGCGAACGGCGCCATGTCCTCGGAGACTACCGAGGAGGACGGCGCCGGCTGCAGCTCCGAGGGGATGGTGGGTGCTTCCACCTTCGGCTGCGCCGCGAAGGTGAACACCGGGAGCGGCGGCGGCGGGGGAGGCGCGAAGAGGGACGCCAGCGCCGCCGCCTGATCGGCGAATATCGGCGCCGGTGGCTCCACCACGTCGATCGTGGAGAAGGGGTTCGAGTGGTGGTGGTGGCTGCTCGTCGTGAAGGCGGCGACGCTGTTCGACGACAACGGCGTGGCGGGGGTGGTCGGGGTCGGGGCCGGCGTCGTCGTCGCGGCGCCGGCCGTGGGGCTCGCGCTGCCGCTGTTGGTGGAGCGGGGCGAGGACGCCGAGGGGCGGCGCGGGTTCTTGTTGGCCACCGCGTCGCCCGACGTGGGCGTGGACGGCACCGACGACGTGGCGGACGAGGCGGACGACGACGACGACGACGCGCGCTTCGTCTTGCGGCAGCCCCCGCCCACGGGGACGTTGCGCAGGACGCCGCCCTTGGTCCAGTACCGGCGGCAGCTCTTGCAGAAGTGCCGCGGCTGCGACAGGTTGTAGTTGTTGTAGTAGCAGAACTTGGTGTTGGTGGACTCGCACCGCGGGCACTTCACCGCCTCTGGCGGCGCTGCGGGCGAGACGCCGCCGCACCGAGCCCCGGGGCCCTGCTGCGCATGCGTCTGCGCGCGACGGAGGTCGGCGGCCCCGGCCCCGGCCCCGCCGAACAGCCGCCCGGCCAGGCCCGGGATGGACTGGAACTCCTGCATGATGGCGTCTAGCAGCGTCGTCGTCTACAACTACAACGTGCTAGGATATGCTGGCCTCGGCGCTCGGCGGGCGTTAGCTTAGCTGGTGTTGTGTGTTTGCCGGGAAGGCGGGAGCGTGGCAAGAGCTCCACCCGCTCGGCATCGCCTCTGCATCACACACCGATGGCGGGTAGATATCTACACTTCTCACTCTCGTCACGCTCGTCCTGTCTGCCGTCCTGAATTAGCAAAGTTACGAAATTGCCCTTCGGTTTGTGTGTTATTGACCCAATTGGCCCCCCACTGCTCCTTATCGTGTTGTAGTACGCGTAGGCGCGTGTGCCCGATCGACCTCGACGGCTACTCGAGTAGATGGAGCTCTCCTCTCTTGCATTGATCGGCGATGTCGCTGGATTCGTGCTCAGATCACTAGTATCGTCCATTCTGATTCTCGTCTAATTTATTCATCTCTAAGTTTTTAGAGCTCTGGAAACTTTAGATCACTTAAGCATAGTTTTGAGATCTGAGCGGATCCAAACATACCCTTAATCTGCATTATTAGGCACGATGCAGGGTGATTCTGATCAGCAGAATCTGCGCGTGGAGATCTTCGGAAGATAATAAGGCCACGAGAGTTTGCAGCTATTGGGTCGACATGCACGCTGGCCCGAAGAGGTAAGGCGCGCCGTGGACGAACCTGCGCCGCTTGTTTCGGTCGACGTTTCGGGGCTTCCTTTCGACATGGGCACGTAGAACCAACCACTTCGCCTTCCGTTTCTGAACGCCCGGCTCGGCTGTCACCATAAGCTGGCAAACATTCTTAACGAACGAATCTGATCGACCTGCTCATAGGATCGTTGTGCCATACTGCAGATATTTGTGGCCTCGTGCATGCAATGCGCGCGGCCACAAGGCCTTGGCCACTCGAATTACTCAACTGGTGCCGGCATGGGGGCATCGGCGCACCGCAGCTTGCTATATACGAACCAGATTCCGCTTGCAACAAGAACCTGCTATATACGAACCAGATTCCGCTTGCAAGAAGAACCAAAGAAGTGGCGTCCGGTTACAGGCGGCGCCGGGACAAGCTAAGGTGGGCTATGGAGCGATGGAGTCCACATGGTGGAGCCGATCGAATCGCGGCCAGGGTCGCAAAGACGTCGACCCGAAGGGACGATTTCGCGTCCGCCCGCCCACGGCCCCTTCTGCTGCCCTCCAGGGCCGATCGGCTCGCGATCAAGCACGTCGCGCTCGCTGGGCTGGCACGCACGCGCCCGTGATGATACTGCCAAGGCCGGATAGGACTGAGAACGCCTTGCCCGGATAGTAAATTGTGGCGTTGCCGAATCGATCGAGCGGTCTCAGCAAGGAGCGAGCCCATCACGCTCTCGCGCGTGATGACGGCCGCCCGGCGGGATCGCTGTGCGCTTTCCATGCGGCACGGGGCTCGATCATCGCATGGGCGGACACGTTACGGCCGGTTTTGCTTGCTCAGATTGGACACCGGTGTCATGGCGTGCTCTTCTTCGAACATCGACGGTGGTTACAGCGGGCCGGAAGTGGGAGCCACGGCGTCGAGTACTCGTACTTCCGCTGCTCGCTTTGCTGTCCATCTGCACACGTACGCCCGCCCGTCGCGTCGCGCCTTTCATGGCGCGCGTAGGCGGCAGGCGGGGTGCCGCGTGCGATCGTTTTCGCCCGCCTAACCCGTACCCCGTCGATCTGGCCGTCCCCACACCGGCTTCAGCCTTCAGGGCTCACATGCACCGTCCGATCGTCGCACGTACATTTGCGGTCGTCGTCTGTGCTTGCCGCGTAGATAGGGTAGGAGTATCAGATCAAAGTACGTACGTGTGCCGTTGTCTAGGGGCATGTACCTGTACTTCCTTTGGTTTGTGCTTGTGCCCTGCACGGCATTCGTACCTGATGATGTATGTGTGTCTGTCTCGTCGTATGTGTGTACGTTGTTGATCCGGCAGGTTACCGAAACAAACGTGCGTCTGGCGGCGAGTAGAAACTGTTGCAGCTCCCTGCCTGTCGGGCCCGTGCACTGCAGAGACGAACCCGCGCACAGAGACGTGCAGGACTGTCCGGTCGGGACGGGGGGGCCCTTGCCGGCCACCACTGGCGGTGCTCTCTGCTCCCATCAGGCGCCTGCCAACCGCGCACGGCCGCGCTCGGCGTTCGTGCCGCAGCCGCTCACGCTGCACCGCCGGGCCACCGGCGTACTCCCTCCAATGCCCTTCACTATTTGCCGTCCTCCCTCCAGTGCAACTGTTGCAAAGGCCGAAGCAACTGCAGTGCAACAGTGCGCAGGCACGTCTCCTCGCCGTGCATATGGCCCGTCTGACATGCGTCCAGGACACGGCTCTGCAGGGTTGCAGGACTGCATCTGGTCTCGCTTGATCGTACGCACAAGTGCGTGTACCCTCTCCTGTGCGCCGGGCCCGAGCGGCATCGGCGTCACGTCGCCGGACATCATACATGGACAGTGCCCGCCGTGGCGCCATGCCGGGGACCTACCGCGCGCGGCCGTGGACGTACGCGTGCCCCTCAGCGGCCCCACGCCCCCACCGCACGAATCGTGACATACTCCCTCGGTCCAAAAGAACGTACTTTCAGTATATATAAAGATAAAGATTCATTTTTTTAAAACATTCATAATGCCAAATACTCTCTTAGTCATAAAATAACTGCACATCTGGTATCTTAAGTCTTACTAAATATATAGAAAATTGTATCAATATTTATATTTCAAATAAGTTTATTATATAAATATATTTCATGATCTGATATTTATTATGCATCTAAATATTAGTATTTTTTATTAAACATAAAAAATTTTGGCATCTTGAGAAATGAGATGTACAATTATTTTGGAAGTATTATTCCTCATGACTGGATCTAGAAGCATGGATACCTGCCCGGCCATCGCAAGATCAAAATCCAGCAAGCCGCAAAGATGTAGACGGGAACTCGATTACCCCCCGCGTTGCATTGACCCCGCAAAAACATAAGCAACATAAAGGCTACCGGATTGGATACCTAAAGGGGCATTCAAATCAGATATCTATATAATAATAAAGATCAGGTGAACAATTAACAAAGACAATGCTACTCAATAGTCCATAGAACAGGTTAAATTTTAATCTAATCTCAAACCTAAATAAAAACTATAAAACTTAAACGGCCGAGGGAGGTCATCCCTCCTCATCACAATAAGGGCTGGAAAGGAGGAGCGGGACCATGGTGATCGTAAGGGGCGGCAGCAACAATGGCGTCTGGGAGACTGTGGCTTTTTTTTGTGACTCAGCGTAATTATTAAAATATGCAGTAGCGTCTAGAGACTGTGGCTCTTTTTTACGACTCGGCATAATTATTAAAATATTTAATTTAATTTAAATTAGTTTGATTTAGACAAATCCAGGATATACGGATCATCGTGCCCTTGCTTTGTCCGTGGGACACTGTATGCTCCATCGCTCCGTTAGCTTCGCTCAAAAAAACTGAAACATTGTTCCAGTTGATTTGTTATGAGAGAAAAATATTGTTCCAGCTGAAAAAGACAGATTATAAGAGAAACGAACAGGCCGATGTGGATCAGGCTGTGGCTTTGCGTCCGGTTTATAGGTGGTTAACATGTAGCTTTGGGAGTCCGTCCGGTCCGGTCGGGCCGGCGTTCGTGCTCGTGTAGCTAAGCACTAGCAGTGGCAGGACCCCGGACGCCACGACGTGCCCGGTTGCCGACGGGTCTCGGTCGCGTTTACTCCTACGGTCTACGCCTCGAAGTCTCATGTTTGGCTCCGATCCGACTAAACGTCATGGGCAACCACAGGCCGGCTAGCTAGGTCCGTAGCAATTCAGATCGAGTGATCGATGCAGCGAGTCTTCTTGCTCTAGCAGGAAGCATACTCGAAACGCAAGCTGAAAAACACACTACTACAATACACGATCGATTACGTGAGGCTAGCTATAGGACGATACATAAATGAATGCGGTGTTTGTATCGTTTGGTCAAATTGAACAGTTAGCTACCGCCGGCCGGTACCTGTCCATCGATCGATCAGTCGTGGCAGATCGAGATCGGTCCATGTATCGAGTACTGTTTAAGCAACGAGTCCGTCTTTATATCTAGGCCATGTTTAGTTTCCATCAAATTCTTGAAAAATGTACTATGCAAAAAGAAGATTTCCCGTCACATCAAATTTACGGTACATGCATAGAGTACTAAATGTAGACAAAATCTAAAACTAATTGCACAGTTTGGTTCTACTTTACGAGTCGAATCTTTTGAGCCTAATTAGTCAATGTTTGAACAATAATTCACAAATACAAACGAAACGCTACAGTAAGACATTAATTATTTCGCCACTCCCAAATCCGGAAACTAAACAAAGGCCTAGCTAGATGACTAGAAGAAGTAGGCTTAATGACTGTTGGATGAAACCGTGTGATTGGGGCCTGCATGATGGATCGATGGCCAGGCCAGGCAGGCCAGTTGATCGATGAACCAGCGCAGCAGTGCCACGCCTAACAAGCTAGTACTACGCCCTAGAGAGAGTGAGGAAGCGATCGAGGACCAAGTCTTTTTTTTTTTACAAGATCGAGGACCAAAGGCATGTTCGCTGGTTGGTTTCTGGGCTGGTTTGAGCTGGCTAATGCTGATTTATTGTGAGAAGAAAACACTATTAACTGACTAGTTTGGGCTAGCTAAAACCAACGAGCGAACAGACTGCAAGTCGCGCCACACAGTTGATCTGATGCATGCCGACTTGAATCGGTCCAGTCTCTCAAGTCGCTACTAGACTGTATCATCGATCCAGATCGATGGGTGCAGTCACAGTACGGGTCATGGTGGCTGGCTGGCTGGCTGCGACCTGACTAGTGAGAGATAGAGGAGCGGGATGCTGCAGCGCGCTCTGCCGTACGGCGTCCGCCTCGAGCTTATTGCGAGCTAGCAACGGCGAGGGGTAGTAGGAGAGGGTAGTGTGCTAGCTAGGGCGGGCGACGGAGCGAGACAGCATGACAAGAAGGTGACAGCGGCCGCGCGCGGCACGGCAGGGCGCGGCGAGGATCCCACCATCCCCAGCCGTTGCTTTCGGTGATCCCCGCGGACATGGATTGCTGTGGCCCTCTGGCCTGTGGGATAGCCGAAAGCCACGCCACACGGCGGGGAGCGCAGCAGCCCGCAGCGCGCGGCCGGACGGCCGTCCGCGACCCTCCGATCCCTCGTCACTGGACTGGACGCGTCAGCACGTACCACGGTCGCAAACACGTACCTACTGACCTACAGTTCTTCCACCCGGCCTTTTGCATGTGGCCTCAGTTATCCAACGGTGATCTCTCAGCCATCCAGGTCCGATCCATGTTTTTTTTAAATTACACTGCACAACACATGCACACTCACCTCTACGAGAGCACATTCGAAAAACTGAGCCGGTAGATCTCGAGATTTACGAAGTCACCACTGGTATCTCGCTGTCGACGGGGACGTCGCCTACCACTGAAAACATAGCACCGTTAAATCTAAAATAAATCCAGAAAAATGCTAGCACCCGTGTCAAGTCGAGGACTTGAACCTGGGTGAGCAGGTTCCACCACAAGAAACTCAACCAACTAATCTATGATCAGTTCGCGATCCATATCTTCTTTTTGGTGGACGTAGAGCTCACCGCCTTGGCTTGAGTACTGAGGAGTAGGCTCAAGCCGAGGGAGAGCCGGACAACTTAAATCCTTGCATAGGCATGGTCGGTGTACTGTCCGTTGTGATTTGACCGATTATCCATCGGTGCAATGACTAAATCAACCCAGCCAAGTGCTGGCGGACTGCATGGTGAGACTAGACGGACCATCCAACAGGGCACAACAGAGCCAGAAAAAGTGCAACTATAACTTGCTAATTTTCTAAAATAGGAGTTTTGATGATGCTTATGCTCGTGATTCTGATGATAACCAATGATGCAAAGCCTGGTCGTGACAAAAAGGTTTTATAAAGCGAGATTATGACAAAATTATAAAAATTGTATCGGGTTTTGATATCTTATTACAAAAGTTGATCCATCAATTCACAATACACATGTGCGAGAATTTAGCAAACAACACAATCAGGGGCGAAGCTTCCTTAGGGCCAACCCCTACTCATTGGTCGTATTCATTTGGTTTTTGGTGTTTGGCCCCTGCTGATTATGCTCCCAAGCTCCGCCACTAAACACAATGCACATTGTTCATCTTTAATTTTTTCCTTTGCGAGAAACTGGTAGCAGGTGGAAATATGGACATCACGGCGTGACCCACAACAACATGGTAGAGTGGCTTGATATGCAGCCTGTTCGTTTGGCTGTGGCTTGTCGTAAACGATCGTAAATTTCCAGCCGGAACAGTATTTTTCTCTCACACAAACCAGCCAGCAATACTTCTTTACGAACTAGCAACGAAACGAACCAGCCAACCGAACAGGCTGCATGTTACTGATATTAGCAGTTCGCTGATGTTACTGATGGTTCCACTTTTTATTTGGGAAGGCTTGAAGCATCGTTTTTTTAAACGAAAAACAGGAGGGGTTTGCACCCCTACTGCAGACTTTACTATTAAGTTGCAAAGTTAAAATTACAAGAGAGAGTTCCCAGGCTGGGCACTCAAAAAACAGGAGGGGCTTGAAGCATCGTTGACGCAATGAGGCGTTGACCAATGGTTAACCAATAGTGGTTGCAGCAGACATGGCAGCATTTTGACGAATCTAGCTTTGTTTTAGGGCAAAAAGGACGACCACCACGTATCCGCAAGAGAAGATGTTCACAGGAGCGAGGATGAAATGAACAGTCAATGAGAGATTTGGACAGTGGTTATATTGAAGAATGGAGCTTACCAAAATCAAAATTAAATTCTACTAGGATTTGGCCTCGACAAAAATTGAGCCGTGGACCACATGATAGGAATGGAAGAAAGGGAAATGGAAACCACTAGTAGAGAAATGGGTTATAGTCCCGGTTGAGAACCGGCTTTAGTCTCAGTTTTCTAACCGGGACTACGAATCCGGACTAAAGGTTACGGCCTCGGGTCACTTAACGGGACTAAAGGTCCATCATCGGAGAAAAATAAATGAAATTATAGGAAGACCTTTCTTGCGATGTGTGAGATTCGAACCCAGGACCTCTTTCCTTGCGCATAAACTCCTTACCAATTCAGTTGTACACCACATGTGACTGGGTCCTGGACACTCTCCTTTAGAATTGACCTGTGGGGTACGTTTAGTCCCGGGTGGGAGACATTTAATCCGGGTTGGTGACACCAACCGGGACTAAAAGGTCACCCTTTAGTCCCGATTGGTAGTTAAAGAACCTTTAGTCCGGGTTGGTAACACTGGGAGGGAAAAAGTGTAACTTCTTCTTGAAGCGTGCGGGACGAGTGACCTTTAGTATCTATTGGTAGCTCCAACCGAGACTAATTCTTCCTTTACTCCCGGACGCAAAAAATACCGAGACTAAAGTCCAAAATCGAAGCGGATGAAAGGTCATTTCTCTGCTAGTGAACGAAGTCAATAATAATTTTAAGCAAACAAAATTGATTGGTAATAGTTATTTAGAGTCTAGGCTAATAATGGATATAGTATGCGTGCATGGAGAGATGACAGTTATAATCAAACAACTAAACAAAACTATTTGCAAAGGACTATTTTTTTTGTCAATGTTTATAATGCAAAGATCAAATGTCTATAATGAAAAAAGCTAAAGCTAGCTACACGCTCAATTTGCATGTGCCAAGTTGCTAGATCCTTTTTTGTCAAAAAAAAAAAGATTCACCTAGAGATCTCGAAATGATTTTTTTTCGAACCACAGTATTTGAAATTTAAGAAGTTATCATAGGTATCTCAATGACAACAAACATGTTACATACCACTAATAAAAGAACCATGCATACCGTTGAATTTAAAAAAAAATGAAAATACAAGTATCCGTATTAAGTTGAGAACTTTAACCCGTCGTGTTTCACCAACTCAAGATGATATAATATGAAGGTAAGTTGTATTGCTCTCCGCACGTTCTTGCCTCCCGATAACAAGACATCTCTCTCTTATTGGAACTGTTTTCAAGACCTAGAACAGGTTCATTAGTACGGGCTATTATCCGTTACTTATTAACTATAGAAGAAGAGTTGGCACGTCGACGTACGACGACATGGATTCTCTCTGCTCCTGCACGAGGCGAGGGACGGGTCGATCGGGGGAGAGCGACAGGGGGCGCGGCGGTGCTCAAATTATGAACGGCAACGGGCGCGGCGCGCCCATGTGCCGCCGGAGCTGTCTCTCCGCCTAACGAACTCCTATTCCGGGGTGGGCTTAATGCTTGGCTCCCGACGGCACCACGACTGGGATTGCCCATCCTCGACGACGTCTCGACGCGGTGACAGTGTTTCCTCCCGCTCCGGTCCCTCTCGCGCCACCCTGGTTGGATGCTCAAAGATACCTGCCCATTTAAACTCGCATTGACCTCGCACACACTTCATTCACTGTATGTAAATCGTCCCTTTTATCCCCCGTACGGTAGGAGTACATACTACGATACGATATTAGCCCAGCTTAGCTATAAACTGTGTGTTTGTGGGTGGGTGGGTGTCATCTTGCAGGTGTATCACGCACGTACGATGGCAAGTCATTGGCGATTGGCGAGGCCCCAAGGGCAGCGAAGAGCTAGTGGGATAGCGACGAGAGAAGACAAGCGTGACGAAGGCCTTTAGGAATTCAATGGCTACTACTCATGTGGCCACCACTCTCCATAATACCTCATGTTCGCTTCCGCGCACTCTCCATACCTCGAGCTCGAGCACGAGCAGCCTTTGAAAGCCACCCTTGTGGTCCTGCACAGTCCACAGCTGCAGCTAGCAGTCGAAGTCTGCGTGTGTAACGGGACCGTGCTGGAGGGGATGATGGAGCAGGTTGGCCAGGCGGGTTACAGTCTCACATGTACGGCATAGTGATCGATCAAGGGCTGAATTACGCCCGCCGCGACAGGGCAGTGATCAGTTAGAGTGATAGCCTGATAGGTGACCGGCCTGCAGATTGGAAGATGACGAGGATAAGCAGTAGAGCTAGCTAGCTACCTGCCCCTGGGCAGGCTTACGTTTCGTCGCTGCTGCGCAAGCCACCGGGTGGGTGGGTGGGTGGGCAGTGGGCACATCCCTGGGGCCAAGGGATTTGTCTGTCCCCGCTCTCTCTCTCTCTCTCGTTAGAAATGATAGGCAATATAAACGATGATGAATAGTAGATTAAACATAGGAGATACAAAATTTTAACGTGAAAAACCCTTTCAAGGAAGAAGGGAAAAAATCACGGACACCAGCCAGCAAATCTTCACTATATCGGGTGAAGTTACAAACGTCGGGGATTTACAACTTTTCTTATCCCAAGACAACGTCTTACAGAGATATATATAGAGATGGAAAACCTTAAAAGACGACGATCCATACCGCGGGGGGCTCCGCCCCCACCCCACCCCCCGAGGCGCAGTAGGGAAACATGATGGGCTAATTTTAGCCTCCGCTTCGCTTCGGCCCAAGCCTCCCAGCAACGGGCCTCGCTTCGCTCCGGCAGAAGTTAGTCTCTATCTTGCACATAACTGAATTTGGATCACAACTCAACGAACTCCACCTTTAGACAAAAATCCTTCTTGTAGCGTAAAATGAACCTTCACCCTGAAACAACAAAGAAAATACTTCCGGTGTCAAATAGCCTCTTGGGCTAAACAGTTATAACAACTAAGCTTGAGCAAAGCTCAAACTAAGCAACAGGAACTGACTTAGTCAACATATCAGCAAGATTTATCATGCATGCTTATCTTGCGTACCTTCAGCTTACCTTACGCGACAATATCACAAACATAATGGTATTTGACATCAATGTACTTTGTTCTATCATGGAACATCTGATCTTTAGTAAGACATAGCACTTTGATTGTCACAAAATAAATTAATGTAAAAATCATCTCCACAAAGCTCAGCAAACAGACCTTTCAACCAAACCGATTCTTTACATGCTTCAGCAACAGCCATGTATTCTGCTTCAGTAGTAGACAGGGCAACAACGGGCTGCAATGTTGCCCTCCAACTCACAGCATAACCACCAATAGTGAACACATAACCTGTGAGAGATCTCCTCTTATCCAAACCGACAGCAAAATCTGAATCCACGTAGCCAATGAGTCCCTTATCAGCCTTGCTAAACTTCAAACAAGCATTTATTATGCCACGAAGGTACCAGAAAATCCACTGAACAACCTTCCAATGTTCTTTACCAGGATTAGCCATGTATCTACTAACCAAACTCAAAACATATGATAAATCAGGACGAGAGCAAACCATGGCATACATCAAAGAACCAACAGCACTAGAATATGAAACTCTTGACATGTACTCAAAATCCTCATCCGTACTAGCACATTGTAAAGCTGATAATTTAAAATGAGGAGCAATAGGAGTACTAACAGACTTTGCATCATGCATGTTGAAACGATGAAGAACTTTCTTAATGTAACTTTGCTGACTAAGAAATAACAAACCAGAATTTCTGTCTCTTGTAATCTCCGTACCTAGAATTTTCTTAGCAGCACCAAGATCCTTCATCTCAAACTCACTACTCAACAGTTTCTTTAATATAGTGATTTCTTTCTTGCTCTTGGCAGCAATCAACATATCATCAACATATAACAGCAAGTATATAGGTGACCCATCAACAAATTTAATGTACACATAGCTATCAAATTCAGACCTCTTAAAACCATGTGACATCATAAAAGAATTAAATATTTTATACCATTGACGAGGAGACTGTTTCAAACCATATAAGGACCTCTTTAATTTGCAAATATGATCCTCCTTACCAGGTACTATGAACCATTTTGGCTCGTCCATGTATATCTCCTCCTCGAGCTCTCCATGTAGAAACGCAGTCTTTACATCTAACTGTTCAAGCTCAAGATTTCTTATAGCAACAATACCGAAAAATGTATGAATTGAACTATGCTTTACAAATGGAGAGAACACATCATTATAAACAACACCAGGAATCTGACTAAAACCTTTTGCTACTAATCATGCCTTAAATCTTGGAGGCTCACTGAGAGATAAACCCTCCTTTCTCTTGAAGATCCATTTGCAACGAACGGCCTTCTTTTGTTTAGGCAAGCGCACAACATCCCATGTGTCATTTTTCTCGAGTGACTGCATCTCCTCTTGCATACCGAAAATCCACTTCTCGCGGTCACCAGAAACAACAGCTTCAGTGTACGTAGCCGGCTCATGAATGTTCTCCACCTGTTCAGCACAACTAAAAGTATAATGAACCATATCACATTCCTCAATTAAACATGGACGAGGTCCACAATTTCTTTTTGTTCTACGATCTACAATAAACTGATTTTGAGGTTGTAAAACAGGAGGTGAGTGCTGAACAATACCATGAACATTATTATCAATAATTTCAGTTTCCTGGTCATCTACGTGCTTCACCTGCACGTTCACATGTTGCTGCTCCTCATCAGAACCAACTGGAGAAACATCTGTAGACAAGCTGTCATTAAACATATCAGATTCATTAAAAACAACGCTCCTGCTCATGAAAGTCTTTTTAGTTTCAGGATTTCATAACTTATATCCTTTAACTCCAGAACCATAACCAAGAAACAGACACTTAATGGCTCTAGGTTCTAACTTTCCATTATCAACATGAGCATAAGCAATGCAACCAAAAACTCTCAACTGTGAATAATCAGCAGGTATACCAAACCATACCTCAATGAGAGTTTTCTTATTAAGTGGGATAGAAGGTGACCGGTTGATCAAGTAACAGGAGGTGTTAGCAGCCTCAGCCCAAAAATGCCTGTTCATACGAGCATTGGACAGCATGCAACGAGCCATCGAGATGATGGTTTGGTTCATGCGCTCAGTCACACCATTTTACTGAGGAGTGTACGGGATAGTGTGGTGCTTGATAATGCCTTCTTTCCTGCAGTAATCATTAAAAGCATCCGAACAGGATTCACCGCCATTGTCAGTACGAAGCAATTTTACCTTCTTTTCAGTTTGCCTTTCTATCATAACTTTTCACTCTTTAAAAGCAGCAAAAGTATCATCTTTATTTTTCAGAAAGTAAGGCCACACTTTTCTAGAGTAATCATCAATAATGATAAACATGTAACGAGCACCACCATAAGAGGGCTTACGAGACGCCCCCCACAAATCAGCATGTATATAATCAAGTGTACATTTGGTGATATGAACAGATGCATTGAATTTTACCCTCTTATGCTTACAAAAAATACAGCGCTCACAGAACTTTATCTTATCCACAATGCATCCATCCAACAGGTCTCTCTTGATCAATTCTACTATACCAAGTTCACTCATATGGCCAAGACGCATATGCCAGCGATTAGTCTTACTTGGTTCATCATTAGAAACAGTAGTAACAGTGATGGAACTATATAAAGTACTTCCTCTAAGAACATATAACTTTACATAATTCATATCACCTATCACATGAATGAGAGAGCCTGTTGATACCTTACACACTCCACCTGAACCGGAGTGTTTGTACCCCTCGATATCAAGTGTCCTGAGGGAGATGAGATTTCTGGCCATCCCTGGTATGTGTCTCATATCTTTTAGTGTGCGTATCATGCCATCATGCATCTTGATCTGAACGGAGCCGATGCCCACAATCTCACATGGGTTGTTATCTCCCATACGCACGACATCTCCACTCTGCACAGACTCATAAGAACTGAACCAATCTCTGTTAGAGCATATATGAAATGAGCATGCAGAATCAAGTATCCATTCATCACGACCAGCAACACAACCAGCAAAAACAACAAGAACGTCTCCTAAATCAGAATTATCAACAGCGGAGACAACAGAGGTCTTACAACCACCATCGGATTTGTTTTTCGGTTTATACGTACCGTTTCTTTTCTCCTTATTCTGCAGCTTTCAACAATCATCAATGACATGAGTATCTTTCTTACAATACCTGCAGAACTTATCTCTGCCTCTGGACTTCGAACGGCCTTTACCGTTCTTGCTCTTGTCTCGATTATTATTGTTGTTGTAGGTTTTCTGCTCGGGCCTGCCTCTAACCTGCAACACTTCACCCTTGGAGGACGACACGTCAGATTGAACCATACCTTTCATCTTCTCACTCGTCTGGAGGGCCTCATATACTTCCGCAAGGGTTGGTTCATTACGGCTTAATAGTATGGTATCTCAAAAATTTGCAAACGAACTAGGCAGTGAGCATAACAGTAGAAGAGCTAAATCTTCATCATCATATTTTACCTCCATCGACACTAGATCGGCAACGATCTCCTTAAAGATCGATAAGTGGTTCATCACCAAACCACCTTCTGCAGCTTGTGCGTGAACAACTTCATCTTCACGTGCATCTTACTGGTTAGATCCTTGGACATGCAGATCGATTCCAGCTTGAGCCAAAGTTCTGCGGCAGTTTTCTCCTGCAGCACTTCTTGCAAAATATCATTATGTAGATGAAGTTGAATCAGAGACAGAGCCTTACGATCCTTCCGCTTCTCTTCAGCGGTCCATGACTTCTGCCCTTTGCCTCCGAAACCATCCAGTGCCTCATCAAGATTCGAAGATTATGCCAGAATCGCCCGCATCTTGACTTGCCACAACGCAAATCTCGTCTTGTAATCCAGCAGCGGTAGATCAAACTTCATCGATGCCATAACTCAACACCTCTCCCGCGAGGGTACTCTGTCAAGTGCTGATGGATCGAGACGAAATGACCGGCCGGCAACTGTAGCTAGTAATTGGCGGTAGGTGCCGCCGCCTCTCGTCGCTAGGCTAACGAGTACTCCTAGAGGCTAGAGATCATGAAGATCTCGTCGGTCATGCCGTAATCCAAAGCCAAAACAGCGCCCTGGCTAGTGCAAGAGTGCGTGCACTCGCGCGTATGTGCGTGCGGAAACACAACTTGCACAACTGATGAATCGCCGCATGACGGAACGCACGCACAAGAGAGGAGGCATTTTACCATGGATTTTAGCCTTTCAACGATGCTTGATTCCCGACCCGACCCGCCCCATCTCTTTGCGGTATTCATGGGTGCATTTGCAGGCTTCTGTCAGAGACACATCGTGCTAATCTTACCTTTCGGCTTTAGGGCCTGTTCGGCTGGTATTAAAGCCGGCTGATAAACTGACTGAAGCTGTTTTGTTGTAAGAAAAAAATACTGTAGATTCTAACCGATAAACCGACTGATAAGTTCAAACGAACCGGCCCTGCCTTAGTGGATAGTCGTCGTCTCTGTCTCGAATTGATGGGCAAGGCTTCCAAATGTGGCCAATCTGAAAAGCCACCATGGCGGGCGGAGGTGCAGTCGCAAGCGCCGTTGAGTTAGGCCGATTCTACGACTACGAGGCTCTGAATCCGCGCAGAAAATTTTCAAAAGCGCACAAGTCTGGAACAAGGCCGGCCGTCGGGTTCAATTCCAGTTTGCTGTACAGCCCACATACATTCTCAGCCCGTACAAAATGCCCAAGAAGAAGAGAAGCAGGCGGCCCCGGCCGACGTGTGGTGCACGGAAGGGCCCATTTGACGCACGGTTCAGCGTTGCGAGCGCCGAGCGGACCTGCTGCAGTACACTACATGGGTTCTCGCGTCCACAGTTCCACACACTGAGATCTGCAAGGACAAAAAAATCGCGGCCACAAAAGCCCATACATACATTTCACGAATTGACCACCCCTTCGGCCCTTCCGGCCTTCCTGACTTCCTCAAAAAAAAATTTACTAGTACAACCCCTTCCAGTGCCACAAGCCGGCTGGTTCTCGGCTCCTCGCCCAGTCGCCTGACGGCTGACGCTGGACGCCTGGTACCTTTACCTTGGGCCGATCGCTGTGCGAAGGCGTATTCCAATTTGGCATCACAATAACTTTCTGATCTGTGTATTCTGAGAGTGTTTTCAGGGACAGCGCATAGTCTCTTCGATCGTCCCCAAAAAACGTAACTATAGGTTTGAGCTAAATTAATAGAAAATAATATTTATATTTCTAAATAGATTTACAATAAAATTATATATCATAATTAATTAATGATACTTCTTAGGCAACATGAATATTAGTATCTTTATGGATTCGATCAAACTTAAATTTGTATAGCTTCTCAAGAAGTGATATTTGTATTTTTTTTAGAATGAACAGAGTGGCACGTGCCGAAATACTATTACTTATCTTCTACGCATTGTTTTCTTGTACGGTCATTCAGCCTGCTACATGATTGTCCAGCATTTTTTTCATATAATTTATCGTTTATTCTGTTTATACAGTTGTTTCATGGTTTAATTAGCCATCTAGCCTTTGATCGACTATTTATCTTTAGAAAAAGCTGCTTTTGCTGATGGAGTCAACTGACTCCATTAAGATACGGGATCGTCTCACGGAGCCTAGCCTCCAAAACAAGCCATTTAATCCTAAGCTATCATACATTTGAGTTGAACTTTATAGGCTGATGGAATCGCTTTGGCTTAACCTTGAACCCAACCAATCCACAAGCTGTCATGTCATGTCGAGGCCGTAAAGAAGCAACCATTCCTTGTCATCATTCTGTTTAATATTTCATCCAATAAAAAAACATTTAATATTTCATAAAAAAGGTTAACGACTTGTTTCAAATACTAGTACTAACATATTTCTAATGGTTTCGCATAATTATGTCGATAAACAAAGGTGGTCTTGAAAAAAGAAAACTAGTATCTATCTCCACATTTTGCAAGCAACATCCCGCAACTCTAGCGCTAAAACACCCCCTCCCCCCTTCCAGTCAGGCCGTGCCGCACCGACGTCAACGGAGACGTGTCACCGGCGGCGGTGAGAAGACCCCAAAACCTTCTAGATTTTTCTCCGGCGGCAATGGATCTCTGGGAGAGGGCCCGGGCCTTCGCCGGCGAGGCGGCGAAGCGGTCGCAGGAGCTCTCCGCGGAGGCGGCCAAGCGCTCGTCGGCGCTGGTCTCGGAGACGGCGAAGAAGTCCAAGGAGATCTTCTCCGAGACCGCCTCCAAGTCGCGGGAGATCGCCGCCGAGGCCACCAAGCAGGCCGACCTCCTCGCCGGCCAGATCATGCACCTCGCCTCCGACCTCCCCGTGCCCTCGATCCCGCCCATCCCCGCGATCCCGCCTATCGCCGCCGCCGCCTCGTCGGAGCCCGACGCGGCCGAACTTGAGCGCTACGGCGTCACCGACGACCTCCGCGAGTTCGTCAAGGGCATGACCATAAGCACCTTCCGCGACTTCCCACTGCAAGGTGCGGTGTTTTGGTGGTTGGGTTTAGGGAATTCCAGGCTTGCAATCCTCCTCTGACTGGACTTTTGGTTCTGTAGATGAGCCTGAGGTGTCTGATGTGCCAACGGTGTCGAATGTGCGTCAGGATCTGAACGAGTGGCAGGCCAGGCACGCCACACTTGTCCTCTCGGCAGTCAAGGTTTTCTCATCATCAAATATCTCCATTCACTGAACATCGTTTGATGCATTTGTTTGTGTCATTGCGGATTAGTCTGTGCTCCGGTTGATAGATTGGTGAATGATGATGAATCCAAGTATGAAAGGGCATACAGTATAGATTTGCAAATATGATTAGCGTGCATTGACTATTGAGAGTTGAGACGGCAAAGTTGTAGAAAGCTGAGCTTATAGCATTTGGACGTGCTGAGTGAAGGAACTGGACATGTCATTTGTGACAATAAAACATTGATTCATCGGCACTGTGATTCTTAAATAATGTCGATTTCGACTAGTGGGAGTCACATATGACATTTATGTTTCCATTTTATTTCTTTAGATTAAGCAATGAAGATGAAGCATTGCTAGATATATTAGCAAATGGAAAATGGTAATATCATAATATGTAAAACTTGGACATTTAGATATGTCATACTTTTGCATGTTTGTGGTAAACTGACCAAAGGACAATATGTTACCAAGAAACTCTAGGCACTCCAATTGTGCTTGTGTGTAGAATTTGCAGGGAGTTGCAATTTGGGTAGAGACTGGGTCAAGTAGTGAGTAGTGATTGAAGTATGCTGTTTAAAATTGTGGCAGTTACCATTTTGATACTGAATTGAGGTGGCTCTTAGTTCGAATCTAATAAGATCCTAAGATGTCTGAAAGGATTTTTCTTTTAACTATGGCCATCCATAATCTCATCACTCTCTGTTCTGCGCCTTCTTCCTATTAATATTCTTCCTGTGTATGAGTTATTTTTTCATTTAATTTGCAATGCCGACCAGCAAAGATCTCTATTTTCCGACCACCTAATGTTATATTTCTATTAAATGGTGCTATCTTTTGTTCAGGAAATATCAAAGTTCAGATATGAACTATGCCCAAGATACATGAAAGAGCGCAAATTTTGGCGGGTATATTTTTTGCTAGTAAACAGCTATATAGCCCCGTAAGTTTTCTTTTCACGCCTTGTCTGCTCATGCTGTACACTCTTGATGTGTTTTTTTGCTATTTTTTGTCAATCCTGTTCGTGATGTACAATCTTTTACTAGAATGTTGATGGCTTTATCATTTATTCTTGATGTCACACCTGTCAAAGGACTTTATAGAATTTTATTTGAATCGGTGTAGTCATTACTTTTATTTGTGGCATTGAAGTACGCCGATTTTATCCATTAACTGCAATTATTGTTGATGGCATAATCTATGATGTCCTATCTAGTTGTGCCTCCATGATAGATGCAATGGAGCTTACCTTGAATATATTTATTATCACATTTGATTTCTTCAAATTTCACATAAATAGTTGATTTCGAACCACTGCTTATTATATCGTGATGTTAGTTTTATGGCATAATTTTTGTGCATTTAACATGTTTGCCGACTTCAATATAATCCGAATAGGTTTGAGAAGAAATACTTCGAGGAGCTGAAAGTGAAAGCAGAGGAAGAGAAAAAGGATTCCCAGAAGGAAGCATCCCAGGCATCTACAACTGCAGAACCGAAAGACACAAAAGCGCCAAGCAAGACCTCTTCAACAAATCCAGAACATGATCTGGATGTATTTCTGTTGGGGGATCTGGGTAGCGACGATGAGGGACCTGGTATGCTATTCACATCCCTGTACCTCAACCAGCCTAAGTTTCTATCTCGGCTCGATTTCTCCAGTTCTTGTATATGACTTTTTTTGTACGATTGATTGCTTTCAGTTGATGGTGATGATGGGCTAGATGATGACTTTGATAAGATTGATGCAACCTCGGTAAGTACACATGTTCTGTTAGGAAAGAATTACCATATCCACTACCTATTACCACGATTTAGCTGCATACTGCATCTAACAAAACACAGTCATACCATATAGAATGTGGAGTTGGAGTGTGATGTGTTGTATAGCTATCAGAATGTAGCGTCATTGTTATTCCATGGAATCTGTACGTGTTCTTTGTCATGCTATGGTTAGCCTGGCTAAAAAGCTTGACATGTTTAGAAGAAGTGAGACAGCTGGTTTTCTCTGCTGTTATTTAATTTGTGCTGACAGCACTGCCTGACTGCCTCGCGTTGATGCAGGGTTTGGAAAGTGATGACGATGACAAAAAACCAGCAACAGGGAAGGCAGAAGATGCGAAGTAGTTGTTGTCTATGGTTTTCACGACGCGAGAGATGATGACAATGATAGCGAACTTTAGAGTTCCAAGATGATATTGTATATTACTTGATCGCATGCCATCTATTCATTTGTTATCTCCCAATCAAGGAATGTTACGTACTTAAGGTTGTTGCACTTTCGATTTTTTTGACTAAATGGCGCGACTCTTTTTCCTTTTTTATTAAAAGTGTTCTGCATACTTTCTAGTCTATGGAATTGAATTTTAGCCCTACCGCCCGAGACTAAATTTCATATGATGTACCAATGTGCATAGAACGCATTTGATATTGTGTGCCTTTTTTTTATCCTGAATGCTTGTACATTTCATATTGTGCCGGCCTTTTTAATCCTGATGTACATTTGAACACTTATAGCTAGAATGTACATTTGAACAGTAACAGCTAGAATGTTTTTAAGATATTACGATGGAGGGTCGGCCGCAGCGAGCCAACCCTATCAGTTTCCACAAATTATGCCGGCCATATGTCTTGATAGCCATACAGCACCCATCAGTCAAGGATGGATGTGGCATACATAGCCAACCGGCCCTTTTTAATTTGCGATGGAGCAGACCCACTGCTATTTGAAAGCACCCGCTCGCGTTGCTCGTCGCTGCCTCCCCGATGTGGGATTAATCCAAGCTGCTTCCCAGTACCCGGTTCCGGACCGCCGGTGCCGGCTGCGCGAGCTCTCGGCCTCCTGGGCCTCTATAGCCCGCTTCGCTGCTGAGGAGAACGGCCCATGATTAAAACTTTCTTGCTTGCTTTTCCTAATCCCTCAGTCTGGTGTGTCCCTATCACGTGCCTCGGGGATCCTGAAGCAGTTGGATCTTCTCGAGCTATATGATGCCACTGGGTTACACGAGGCTTCATCGTACTCTCCCTACTGTAACTGCAACTGCAACCCTGTTGTTTGCTTGCTTCCTGCGTTATTATCATTTCACTATGTTTAAGCCCGTGCGTTGCCTAGAAAAAAAAAAAGATAAGATCATAGTAATTAAATGTTTCACATGTACTTGTCTTGACAAAAAAACGATATGTTGCACGCATCTTGACGTCTGCTTGTAGCCCTCTTCGCTGAGTTCTCGCGTCCAGCATGATGGTGTGCACCGCACCAGCTACAACGATTTAATATTAAACCATTAGCGAACATGTTGCTATCTATCAAGTTAAATAATTTGTAAGGATAGAAGTATCAATTTTAGTATATTATAGTCATCGATGGTGATGAAAAACACATAAATCTCAAGTACGTATACCAAGTATGTAACAAAGGGAAGCAAAATTGTACGGTATTTTCTCTTAAAAATATAGCCACACGAATTGGTATTTCCTTCATATCTCTCAAACACCATGCATACTAAAGATGAGCTTCTATCATATGTGGCTCTCTAGGTATTTCCATTTGTTTCTCCTAAAATATTGTAGCTTGGTCACTATCATCATTATAGACAATATTCTTTCAAGACAACGTCAGGACTTCTTTACTGACAATATTCTTCGTGTATGTACCTCTTTATAGATAATATTCTTTGTGTATGTACTTCTTTATTGACAATATTCTTCGTGTATGTGCCATTTATCTTTGTAGTCTTTTTCTTTGCATTTTATCAATAGCTGGAGGGCCAAGATTCTGATGTTCAATCTAACAGTGGCTCTTGATAGTGCTACATACAACTAATCATGTGAGAACACTGGTCTGCCAAGTACACTCCGACGTTGAAGAAAGTTTGCCCCGGCGTCTTGTTGACGGTTATGGCGAAGCTTAGTCGCATAGGAAACCGTTTTCTTTTAAACTGAAAAGGGAACATCTCGTCATCAGACGAGCATAAGTATCTAAGGCAGGAGTACCCGCTTTCTAGCATGCTAGATGGGGTCGAATAAATAAAAGAATAAAAATTAGTAAATAAAGAGACCTGATTGACGATTGCCGCTAGCGATGAAAGCAGTACAAATTTTTTCCTTCTCCGTCCTAACTGTGATTAAATCGGATGCCAGTTTTGAACAGGAACTGATGAAATAGTAAAAGAAAATTAGAGACATGACTATAGCTATGCTTGGCACTACAGCTGATGCAACTAAAAATTTTCCTTCGAAAACACCTGCCGCAGTTGCTGCTGCTTTAAGTTGCAGCGAGCAAGCCTATGCAAGGGTGAAATTGGGTGGTACAACTGTACATACTATGTTTTTTTTTTTTTTGTCTTGGCAAGGTGGTGCTAAACTGTGCTTACCATGCTACTGCTGCTGGCGTGCCACTCCGGACGTGCATATGCACATGGGCCGCAGGCCCACATTTTTCTGGATTCCAACACAGTGGACACCAGCAGCACCAAGCAGCACCTGTATAGCTCTGTAAATGCAGCAGCACCAATCAACTCCACCCATTTTCTCTCTCTGCTCTCCCCAATCATATTCTAGAAGCTGTGAGCTCCGCCCAGCGACGGCGAGCTCCATGCAGGCCGCGCCGACGAGCTCCGCCCAGTCTGCGATGGCGAGCTACGCACAGGCCGCGCCGGCGAGCTCCAATCCACGCAGTCCGTGACGGCGAGCTCCGTGCATGCCGCGACGGGCCCGTAGCATCCGTGCAGTCTGCGCCGACGAGCTCATCCTCTCCCTCCCCACACGCCGCGCCCGCTCATCCTCTCGACCTCTCCTCCGCCCTCTCTGCTTGGACGGCGGATCTCGTAGGGAGGAGCCGCATCTCGCGTTGGAGCAGTTGCACGCGCCCGCCATGGAAGTTTACAGTGGAGCAGCAGCACACATCCGTCGTGGGGCCCGCTTGGACGCCGCCGCCGCCGCCGGGCACGTCTTCGGTGGCAATGGCGGCGGTTTCTACGGCAGCGGGCACGTCCGCTTCGTCGAGGTAGAGTCCAGCGTCGAGGTGGCTGCCGGCGCGGATGCTTGCCGCGGCGTCGCGGCTTCGTCCGCCTTCCTCGCGCGTGGGGCAGATGTGCGGCACGAGGCACAGACCTCGATACCCGTGGAAGGATGTGTTTTGCTCTTGTCGGTCGTCCGCCCGCCCGCCCGCCCAACAGCAGCACAAGCGGTGGGCCCGATCTCCCTCCCCGTCCTTCGTCCGGTTCGCTCGGCTTATAAGTCATATTTTTTTTTAAAGTCAACGAATAATATTTTTCTCTCGTAATAAATCAGTCAATAGTATTTTTAATCGGGGCTTATCAGCTAAGCGTGCCCTGTTCGTTTAGCTGATAAGCCATGACTGAAAATATTGTTGACTGATTTATTATGAGAAAAAAATCATATTTATTAACTAAAAAAATACGGTTTATAAACTAGCCAACATGGCGTAACCCGGTTCCAACCATTCCTACCACCAGTAGCAGAGTGTACCGCACTCCCTTTCCAAGCTGTTGTTCAGTACTTCAGTTCAGTGCTGCGAAAATAACCGTGCTGAGTGCGTGTGTGCGTGCTTGTTTAGGCCCCGTTTGATATGGCTCCGGCTCGTGAAAAAATAGTTTTGGCTCTGACTCGTATGGAAAAGTAGCTTTTTCTGACTCTGTCTTATTTTGTACGAAAACGTTTGGCAAAACGGCTTCTCCTAGTATAAAGAAGATGTGAAATGTCCAAAATACCCTTATATTTTTTTTCTTTTTTCTCTTCATTTTTCTTTCTTTTTTTTCTTTTTCTTTTCTTCTCCCTTCTTTTCTTCTCCTTATCCGAACGGCCTCACTCCATCCATCTCTCTCTCTCTCGGGCGTTCGGATAAGGAGCTACCGACACCCACTCTCTCCATCCATCTCTCTCTCTCTCTGGCGGAGCAGGAGGCTGGCCGCGGAGCCGGTGGGGCGGAGCCGAAGGCCGGCGGCGAGGCGGAGCAGGGAGTCCAGCTGCCCCAACCGCGCCTGCGCGCCGCCGCGCCGCCAGCTGCCGCGACCGTGCCTGGCCCCATGGCCGCCGCCGCGTCGCGCCGTCGGCGGCGGCTGCGGCCCCGCATCGACGCCGTCCACTGCTCATCCTCCCGGAACAAAGATAGAAAATGAGTTGTTGGGACGAGAAGAAGCCGGTATGAGCCGTTATTTTTGGCTTCTCCCCGGTGGAGAAGTGTAGAGAGCGGGATTTTAGGGGCTTTCGCCGGCTTTCGCTCGTGAACCATTTTGGTTTTGTCCGTTTGGCACGGCTTCATCAAAAGCAGCTCGAGAAGCTGCTCATGAAGCCGTGCCAAAGAGGTCCTTGCTATGGTCATCGTTACACCGCATGGCAGTGTGAGCTTTTCCTTTGGGTAGGAGTATATCCTAGCTGAATCATGCCGCCCTTCCCAAGCTCAAATACGCTTTGAATTGAAATCGACGGTACAGAGCGGAGCGGGCCACCCGTATGGGTCCGTATGGGCGGTATGGCCGTATCCACTACGCAGCATCCAGCGATCTTTGCCAGAACTTTGCGGTGTGGACTGGAGTGTGGAGGCAGACCCACGTGAGCGAGGCGAAGCGAAGCGACCGGGGGTACCCCGCGCGAGCGAGCGAAGCGAAGCCGTGTGGACGATTGTTTTTCCAATGTTTTAGTTGTATATAGGTAGATAGGTACAGGTAGAGGTAGAGAAATGGACTAGTATCGCTGCAGTCCCGGCAGCTGAAGTCTGAGCTAGCACAGGTAAGGCAACTGAACTGAACGCATCCGGGCACACGCCGTCAGTTTCATTGCTGTTTGATTGACTTGAGAGTCAAGAGGCACGGAGAGACTCGAGCACACCACGACGCCCTTCTGCCATTTTGCTCGGTTCCTCTACGCTTTACACGTGCTCTGAGAATTCCTGCGTGATCCAGCCGAAAAGCGATGGCAGTTTTAATCCAGAAAGGATTAAGGCCGTCACAGCTGGGCAGTTGTATGTGCAAAGCACAACGTCAATGTGATCTGTCAGTTACCTTACACCTGTTACTTATCAGCCGACTTTAATATCAGCTGAATAGGCCAAGGTAATTAGCCAAGAAATAAGTGTTATACCTGTACGAAAAAAGATATTATGTTTACGTCGTACTAGATGCTTTGCGATGCCGATCTTTTATTTCATAGAAGTGAAGGAGACACAAAAAGGTGAAACGGGTCATAGATCAGAATAATAACATCAGAACTTGACAAGTGTCGTCTTGTTCCATTACCTTTCGCCTCTATCTCGGTTACTCGCTAACTTATCCGCACGACACGTGTTCGTTCAATCCCCCGGTTCTCTCCCCATCGCCTGTCCGGTGGGCCCGGGACAAGATCCAACGGCGTGCCCCGCAACCAGTGTCACCACTCACGTGGACTCTCGCCGGCACACGGCGCTCCGCTCCGCTCCCCGGCCCGGCCTCGTTAACTCTCGCGCACCACCATCTCGGCCGTGCCATCCGCCTCGACTGCCGCTCCTCGCGATCTCGGCCGTCCACGCGTACTCCATCCTCCTCGTGTACGACTCCCCGGTGCCGCCTACCACACGCCCCGGGCCGGTTAATCGGACACGTCCGCCGGGTAATAACAGCGCCACCGACGCGGCGGAGGAGGTCCAAAAATAACTTCACTTCCCCACGCGAATCGCTCCGCCTCCTGCCTCCACACGCACGCACGCCCACTCCTCCCCTGCTTGGCTTCCGAGGACCCCGGGATCCGCCCGCTCCCCGCCGACGCCCCGCAGCAGCCATTTTCCCCTGCTTGCGGCTGCTCGCCACCTCTCCTGCTATCGGCGCGGCGCGAGACGAAGGCAGCGTCGTTTGGTGCCGTGTCGGGGTTCACCAACCGGAGAGGCGGAGATTTGGCTGCAAAAGGAAGGTGATAAGGCGGTTCGCCCCAGAATTGGCAATAACTGCTGGATTGCTGCTGGAGGCGCTCAATTCCGCGTCCGGTTGGGATTTGCCTGATTTCGTGTCGATGCGGGGCTCTCATTGCCTCATTGGGCGCTCGAGCGCGCGTTTATATAGCGCATTGGCGGTGGCTTCTCGCCGTCCGTGGTTGTGGGTGGAGCACCTGTCGCCGTGCTCATGATGCATTGAGTGGAGGCGAGGCGATCCCAGCTGATGTTCCAGGTGGTTGTTTTACGTGCACTGGTGAAGATGCCTCGCGGGGAGGCTCTGGCTATTTGATCGCGCGGGAGCCTCGCTCGATGGTGTGCAAGGCGGCAATGGGGATCAAGGCGCCGGGGAAGCTCAGGTGCCCGTCTTCGGTGGCCGCCGCGGCGCGGTCCAGCTTGAAGCTGTGGATGCTGCGGGCCACCACGACGGTGTTGCTCTGGACCTGCGTCGTGCAGTTCACGGCGGTAGGGAACTCCTGGACCTGGGGACCTCGCGTGCTCAAGGGATGGCCGTCGTGCCGGACGGCGCGGGAGGCGGCCGCTGTCACCACCACGCGGCTTGCGATGCCGGAGCCCGTCGTGGAGAAGGCTCCGCTGCCACCGAAGAGTGAGTACTGCGGCTCTTCCTTTCATCGATTTCGTACGTTTTGGAATGGAAGCGCGAATTGTGTGCCTACGAAAATGCGTTTTTATGTTGAGCACTTTCTATTCAGATTTTGTGCATTGGCGGTTGCCACTCATTTGGTGGAACGCGATAACCTTACTACCTTTTACTCTGTTAGGATTAGGATTCATGGTCTGAGAAAAAATGTGTACCAGGTTTTACAGGTGAAGTTTTTTGATAGAAATTCTGGCTGCTGTTCGAAATCGTATGATGGTAATATGTTAATTAATTATTTCGAGAAAGGTGGGAAAGTAACAGTGACAACCTTTGTTAGCTTGTACACTGAATTTATGGCTTATACTTTTCCTTTTTGGTACCAATCATGCTGCATTTGAGTATTTAGTGTCGTTTCACCTTTCTCTTTCACCATGGTGTCTAGGTATATGAACCACAAGGTGATGATGGCCTTAATCTGCACCAATGAGATACAATCATCATTTTTACTGTTTGATACATTTTCCATGAATATCTTTCACTTTATCGTAGTTTTTAATATCAATTGAGTTGACTATATGACTACCATTGTCAGTGAGCTGTGAGCCTCAACTATATCACAATATTGGCAGTATTATACTATTATGTTTATGATAATCTGGCTTGATGTGCATCAGAGCATGTGTTTCATTTCCTTGTTGAATTTCCTAATCTCGATGTTTTTAATGTTATGTTAGGAATTTATCGAAACAATGGTTATTTGATGGTTTCATGCAATGGTGGGCTTAATCAAATGCGAGCTGCTGTAAGAAACTTTAAGACTCTTCATGTAATCATTTGCTAAAGAAAGACAATTCTTTTTAGGACCTAACATCTAGCATCCTTGCCTTTGCCCTGTCGAATCAGATATGTGATATGGTTGTCATTGCAAGATCTTTGAATGTGACTTTAATAGTTCCTGAGTTGGATAAAACATCGTTTTGGAATGATCCAAGGTGTGTTTACTGTTGGCATTCAAGTTTCCTTGTCCCAGTTTCTTTCTTGAGTCATTGCTGGATGGATTTTATGCATATTCTTTGTGATAATATGCTTATGCATTTTGCCTCCAGTGAATTTCAGGATATATTTGATGTTGAACATTTTATAACCTCTCTTAGAGATGAGGTTCGCGTACTTAGAGAATTGCCACCGAGGATAAAGCTAAGAGTGGGGCTAGGAAAGTTTCACTCAATGCCTCCTATTAGTTGGTCAGATATCTCATATTACCATAAGCAGGTTAGAGATGTCTTATGTCATGTGTCCTTATCCAATCCATAGAATGTTTACCATCTGGCAAAATGCTGATACATTTCATCCTTTTACAGATTCTACCTCTGATTCGGAAATACAAGGTACTCCATCTTAATAAAACTGATGCTAGGCTTGCTAATAATGGTCTGCCTCTGGAGATCCAGAGACTGCGTTGCCGGGTGAATTATTCTGCACTGAAATTTACATCCCAAATTGAAGAGTTAGGGAGGAGAGTAATTAGAATGCTTTGCCAAAATGGCCCCTTCTTAGTTCTTCATTTACGATATGAGATGGATATGCTTGCCTTCTCTGGCTGTACTCAAGGTTGCACTCCTAAAGAAACCGAGGAGCTTACTAGGATGAGGTAAAATTCTTCTGCTTTGCCATATATTCCAGTCTCTTGGTTCATATCACCTTTTGATGTCTTGTTAATGCATACATAATGTCTGGTCTTTCTCATACTGACACTGCAGTTACTCACACTTCAGGTATGCTTACCCATGGTGGAAAGAGAAAGTAATAAACTCTTTTGTGAAAAGAAAAGATGGCCTTTGCCCTTTGACGCCAGAGGAGGTTGCTCTTGTTCTTAAAGCATTGGATATTGACAAAAGTATGCAAATCTATATTGCAGCTGGGGAAATATATGGTGGAAAACGCAGAATGGCTTCTCTTACCTCGGCTTACCCTAACGTGGTATGGACCAAACGACTAAATTCACTTGTGACACCTCTGCTGTATTGTGCTGTCATCTATCAGTGTGTCTCTTTCCTGTTTTCACTGATGTTTTTTTTTTCTGACAATGATGTGTAGGTGAGAAAGGAGACACTTCTGGAACCTTCTGATCTCATGTTCTTTCAGAACCATTCATCGCAAATGGCTGCACTGGATTACTTGGTATCACTGGAAAGTGATATATTTGTTCCCACATATGATGGCAACATGGCTAAAGTTGTTGAAGGACACCGGAGGTATCTATTATCTCAACTTAATCTGTTCTTGAACGAACAGGATATTAGAGTTCATCCATGTCAGTCCATAATATTTATGCTGAAGATTTGCACTATGTTTTTCATCGAGTAATTTCTGCATCAGAAGTACTCACCTGTAGAAAAACTGTAACATGTCGAGTGCTATTTGTTGGTACAGGTACATGGGCTTCAAGAAAACAATCCTGTTGGATAGAAAACTTATAGTTGAGCTGGTAGATCAGTATACCAGTGGATCTTTGCGGTGGGATGAGTTTGCTTCATTGATCAAGGCTGTCCATTCCAACCGTATGGGATCAGCAACCACCAGGGCAGCGATCCCTGACAGGCCCAAGGAAGAGGACTACTTCTATGCCAACCCTCAAGAATGCTTGCAAGATCCCAATATGTTGCAAACATTGTGAGCTTGTCACTTGTCAGAGCTCTTGCCATTCTTTTTGCAACTTGGCATGGCTGAACCTAAGAAGATTCATCATATCTTCTGAACCTGGCAAATGAATGGCATGCTTTTGTTAGCCGTCCAGAGCCATGGAGAAGGGCTGTGTCACCTGTGAACGGGTTCTGAAACAAGAAAGGTGGATGTTTGACTTGAATGTAGTTGGTACATAGGTTATAGGCAATGATTGAATGAAGGCAAATTATTCTGTGGGTTAAACCAGCAAAAAAAAAAGAGCTGATGCTCATGTACGAGACAGTAGTATAGATGGTGCAGCAAGTCCCAAAAGTCATCTTTGTAAGGAAGGAAATTGCTATTGTTTCAGAAAAGCATATATATGTGCCAACATTTCGATACGTAACTCTGTCAACTTTCCTCCTCTAGTCCTTAAGAACTGTCAGTTCAGTTAAAATTTTACGCTCTTCGAGCAGATCCGTTTGCTAAAGGCGCATCTTGCTTTCAGTGATGATTAGGATACAATTGGCCTTGATGCGCGATCAGTTCTGGGGGCGTGGGAGAGGTTAACTGAACGTGCCACGCCTCGCCATTGTCTTATCGCAGGACACCGTCAGCAGTGGTGAATATCCAGGCGCCCGCGTCGCTCGTGAGATCCGACCTGGGGTTGCTAAGATTAACCAAGCCTTCTCAAACAAGAAACAATATATACAATAATAAAGAAAAATATAGTCCCCGTTTTGCCCGATCCGATGCGGCCTGGCTGGAACCACTTTCTACTCGATATGCGGCTATGCTAATGCCCATGAGGGCACGAGGCCATGAATCTAGAAAAAAAACTTTGCTCTGGATTTCATGGATGCACTCGCTTAAATGGTCTTCCACACGCTGCACTTCAGGGCTTCAGGGGATGCGTATTCTGTACGATCGCCGTCGCGCGCTGTGATCATCAATGCGCCTCCGATCCCTAGATGCATTGAAGCTTGCGAGTTCGTGTTCCTTGTTTTCAGTGATGATTGATGTGGTAGGATTAAGTTTGACGCAACCTAAGAGCAACGAGTATAGTGCACGACTAGTAGTTGGGTCAGTGTGACTTGTGTTAGCGGTAGGACTAAGCTTGAAGACGAACTTTGATTGCAAGTTTTTTCACTCTCTCTTCATCACATTAAATCTTTGGACACATGCATGGAGTATTCAATGTAGATAAAAAAAATAACTAATTACACAGTTTGATTGTAAATTACGAGACGAATCTTTTGAGCCTAGTTAGGCTATGATTGGACAATAATTGTCAAATATAAACGAAAGTGCTACAGTGCCAAATACTGATTCCTAACCCCAATCTAAACAAGGCCTTTGTATCAAAATTTATAGAGCTTGATGATCTACAATTCGTAGTTGATAAATTTTTTATTTTATAAATTATCAAGTACCAAAAATTAATTTTAAGTTCTCAAATCTTGAAGTTCAAAAATTTAAAAATTTCGAATGACCTTAGATGTTGACATTGGTCTATATAAAACCTGCAATTATTACTGCAATCTATAATTTTATAGTTGATATTTTTTACCATTTAGAGTCCTAAATATTTATTAAATTTTCTAAGCTTTTGAAATTCAAAATTAGAATTTTCAAACTACTTTATAATCATGTTAACATTCAAAGTTGTTTGAAAATTCAAATGTTTGAATTTTGGAATTTAAGAAAATAAAATAAATATTAGAACTCTAAATGACTAAATAAAAAAATATCAACTACAAAGATATAAATCGCATTGATATCTGCAAACTTTTGTGTAAACCATGTCAACATCCAGAGCGTTCAAAAATTCTAACTTTTGAGTTTAAAAAATGAGAATTCAAGAGAGTCTTTGGTGATCTAAACAATTTTAGTTATAAATTTGTCAACTATAAAGTTGTAGATCTTATTAAAATCCATACTTTTGATATAAAATTCATCGACTCAATAGTGCGGAAATATACACACGCGTATCGATAAGCCAATCTGGAGGTAGAAGGGCATTGGGGGGGGAGGATAAAGAGCAGGATAGGGTTTTCAATGTAAATATACAAGAGGGAAAGAAAGTATACAGATGATTAGGATGATTTGAAAATAGTCCGAGATTACCGGTGCAAAATTGTCTTCTATATTTTAGAAGTGAGATTTTAGAAATGCCAAAGGAAGCCAACAAATGTGCTCCCAACTTTTTTTAGCCACTTGGAAAACTTATGGATTTAGCTATTGTTCCCGAAAAACTATTGAAGATGCTTAGTTTCCATAATTGAAAAAAAAATCTAGAAAAAGAAACAACGTTGAGCAGTGCGCCAATTTTTACCCAATCTTATTCACCCGAACACTGTTGGTCGGGCTCGGCCTCCCTTCTGGCCCATTACCATTAGTAATCTCCACCCCCGGGAGAATGGGCCTAACACAACGATTTTGTCTCCCGTAATGGAAAGGAAGGAAACGACCCGGCTTCCTGGACCTTCATCGCACAGACAGGCCCATATGGAGGTAGAGTGTAATCCATCTCGATCCGCACGACAGCGGGCCACGCTGCAAGACGAGAGCGTATGGCCGGCCGGCAAGGCGGCCCACGTGACACTCCTCGCGCGTCGCCCACCCGCCCGTCCTTCCTCCCCCACGACGCCGCAGCAGCATGGCCGCACTGCACCAGGCACCACCAACCAATCCCCTCGTCTCGCACTCGGCCACATCCCCCGGAGCTCCACAAAAATCTCCCCTCCCACCCGCGCGGAGGGGTCAGCAGCCAGCAGCCGCAGCCGCGCGGCGCCACTGCCCTCACCCAAACGCCTCGCCTTGGCCGCCCCCCCTCGCCGCACCCCACACGGCCTCTCCCCGACCGCGCCGAGCAGAGAGAGGATCACATGGCATCCGCCGTTTCGCTTCTCCTCCTGTCGCCCCCGCGCCAGCTCCACCGCGACGGCACATCCCGCCTCCTCAGCACCCCGCACCGGCGGGTCCTCCTCGCCGCCCCCACCAACGCCACCCCTCGTCGGCTCCTCGCCGCCGCGCCGCGCGCCTCCAACAACAACGACAACAGCGGGGCCGTGGAGGCGCCCGACCGCCTCGTGGCCGCGGTCGCCTACCTCTACCCGTTCCTCGACGGCGCGCACCACGGCCGCTTCCTCCTCGCGCAGTTCCCCTTCTTCGGAGCGGTGCTCCGCCCGCTGGCCCCCGCGGCTCGGCTCTTCCACTCATCGCCGCTCACGCCCTTCCTCCTCTTCCTCACGCTCTACTTCGCCGTCGTGCGGAACCAGCAGGCCTTCTCCCGCTTCGTCCGCTTCAATGCGATGCAGGCCGTCGTGCTCGACGTGCTGCTCATCTTCCCCGACCTGCTCGCGCAGTCGTTCGCGCCCTCCGGTGGGGTTGGGTTCGAGGTCTTCCAGAGCATGGAGAACACGGTCTTCCTCTTCCTGCTCGTCTCCTTGGTCTACGGCGGGGGCGCCTGCCTGCTGGGGAAGACGCCACGGCTGCCCATTGTCGCAGATGCAGCGGAGCGCCAGGTGATGTGATGTGACTACAATTCCTTTCCTTCGAATCATGCTGATGGAAAGGGAAAGGGGATCTGATGGTATGCAGAAACATCGAATGGTTCCTTGGTGCTTGCAGCAAATCACAAGCTTAGTATAGTTTACAATTGCCTTGCTGACTTGCTGTTTATATAGGTCTAGTTATCAATTGAATGGATGAACTGTGGGAGGTTGATACAATGACGTTGCAACCTAGTGTACTACCATATTTGTTGAATTGACAAATTTTGTGGGAGCAATACATGTACACTGTTTTACAATCTGAATTGCATTTACAAATGAGGAGGAATGTCTGAATCGGGGAGCTTTGTGACTACCCCTTCCCTCCCAAGCAGCTTCCTTTGTATCCAAATGGAAGCTTAGGTCAGTAACTGTGATTGCAATATAAATAAAAGAATTGCATCAATTGTGAATTTCATCGGCAAAGTCCTGGTCTGTTGTCTCCATAGTTTGAATTTCAGTTTGAGGTAGAGATCTAGCTTCTTTCACACCGAAGCTTCTTGGTCACATGGATAGTATCTTCACATTCATGATCCTGTCAAGTGAGGGCAAAAAGAAGTGGTAAAGAAATGACTGATTCTGTGAATAAGCCATGACATAAGTCTAGCAACTTTGTAAACATTAACTCGCTGATATACTTTCATGTGCTATTATTACCTTCAAATCATCATGTATATTATTAGGTTCTGTTGCTCTTCTGTCCATACTGATCTCTACAGATATACTAGCTTGAGATGGGTCTACTCCCGACCTTTTTAGTGCTTGCGTCAATCTATTTAGTAGCCTGATGTAAATAATGTTTTCTTCTGTTAGTTGCAGATATAGCAAAATTATCATCGGTAAGCAACAGTAGTTTAGGAACAAACCCTTGAGAGTAAGCATCAGAAAGACTTTGAGTATCCTCATGGAGAGTTTGTTTCTCGTTCTTGCTCAGTGTTCTGTTGTCTGAATCAGAGGTTGACATGCTCAACCATGGTGGCTGTTTGCTAGGTATGTTGTTGTCTGCATTTTAAAGCTATTAGGCTTAGTAAATCAAGTTCTTGCCATAAGCTGTAGCAAGTGAAAGGCGGTAATACAATGGAAGGGGGAAACTGGTAACTTACCTGCCCTGCTTTGTGCTGTGCATGTTGGCTTTTGGGAGGAAATGTCGTTTGCACTAGCTTCCCTAGCGCTTTGTGCGTCAAAGAGAGCAGACGATGCCACTGTAGTTTGCTTGGAACCATACTGTTCTTTGTTCGTATCCTGTGTGGAAGCTGCTAATCCTCCTCCTTGGTTGATATTCTGCGAGACCATGAATAAGAACAAAGAAATTTGCTATCATTGAGATATCATGAGTTCCATACTGCCATGTGATATTTCCTTTTCTTTTTGAGGTGTGTGTGTGTGTGTGTGTGTGTGTGTGGAATTACCTCTGTGTTTTTCCAGCATGATCTGTAGTAAACTTTTGCCTAGCAAGGAAAAAAAATAGTGGGCAAGTGAGTTAAAATCCAAATGTCGCCTTTTTCGGGTTCTTGTAAAAGCTGTGCATGATTATTGTGTAGTATTGTGATGAACGTGGTAACGTGGCTATGTTAGTACCCATGGCATGGAGGAGTCCTCGTGATTCTTTTGTGGGTGTGCTGACTCGTACTTTTGGACCTTCTCTTGCAAGAACCTTATGTATTCAATAACCTGCGAGCAAAATGTTCCACATGCTAAAATACTTGCTGTAACGTGCTGATCAGGATTCCAGTCCTCCCCAGTTGCTGAGATTGTGTTACTTAGAAATCTTTTTTATCATTATTTTCATCCTAGTTCCTACTATGTGTTTTCATAGAATTGAACAAGGAGGATATTGCAACCAAAACTGGGATCAATAGGGGCATTTCAATGTTAAGTGCGTTATGAGATTTCTGGTTACCGGCTGACTGCCATGGGAAGGTTGGCGATCTATTTACCTCATGAAGGAAAGATGCCTTGTCCCTCTTCTGATCACCGTGTGGTAGGAGTTCCCGAAGTATTTCGAGCCTAAACCAGAGCATACACACATACTTGTTAAAATACATTTCCCATATCGCATCTCATGCATCAGCTGTTCTGTTCGTCAAAATTCAAGATTTGTGTGTTGATGACAAGTTCATGTCATGATGTACATGCTGAGCAGGCAGCTGGCTCACTCAGTTTCACTATTTTCTGGCTAAATCTATTTTTAGTTTCTGATCTGCTCAATGCAATTAAAAAATGGAGATTCGACCTCAGCGAGCTTGCCTGTCATTTATCTTTGTCCTTCTCCGCTGCTCGGTAGCGGAGTGCTTGGATCTCGGTGTGCTGGGCCCCTGATCAGCGCTGCTGCCGCTGCTTCTGCATCTCCCCTCGCCTCCTCTCGCGCCTGAACATGCAGGGCAGTGTAATAAAGGGTCTGAATTCTGAAATCCAAGAGAACAAAACAGCAGCATATGGAGTATATAGCAATTTTACCTCTGGATCTTTGGTCCATGCCAGAATCTTGCCACATTGTGGCCGGACCGCTGTGAGCCCTGGCTCCCGATTCTGTTCCATGCGGCGGGCCCTCCGTTCTGGAAACCTGAACGGCAGGAGGAAAGGCGGCACCCCTGACGACGACGCCATGGCTAGCGGCTTCTCCCCTCGACTGAGTCGCAGATGCCACCTGCCTGATGCTGAACGTCCCGACGACACCCGGTAAGACACGCTCCTCCGAGTCCGCCTCCAACCCCGACGACGGTGCCACACCGATCGCTCCGTCGCCTTCGCCGCCCCCGCGCCGCTTGCCCAGCTTCAGGGGCTTCAGTGAATTGTGCACCCCCAATTCGTACCCTGCAGCTGCAGTGAAATGGCTTAGGTTTATTATGTAGTAAGTCGACGTGAATTATGAACCGAGACGCTTGCATACCTTGGGAGGAATGCTGCACCGGCGACGACGAGCCTCCTCCGGTGTGGAGCGACAGGAAATCGTGAGCTGGCTTCTCTCCTGCGGATCACGGGCACGTCAAATTCAGCGGAAGAGAGGGTGAAGGTAGAGAGGCCAGCTTAGCGGCGAGAGCAAGACGAAGAAAGGAACACGGCGAACGAAGCCTCTAGCTAGCTCTGACGACATCCATTCAAGTCCGTACCTTGGAAGAGCTGCATTTTGGCACGCGCGTGGGCACGGGAACCGAGAGATCTCTGGCGCCTGCCTGCCTGCCAAGCCTGCCGCTGCAGCAGAAAGATGGTGCCTGGATCTTGCTGCGTGCTGGCTATAGCTAGTACCGACGCCCGACGGAATGTGTGGCGAATTCGGCTGTCGACTCCGCGGAGCTTATTATAGTCAGGTGGAGTGGAGGGAGCCAGGCCGGCCAGGCCAGGGGGATGAGATCGAAGATGGCCGAGTGGTAAGCCTGCTGTCTGTCAGTGTGTCTGATTGTGTCTTCAGTGTTTTTATCTTTCGAAAATTTGGAGTATCTTCGAAACTTTTATACTAGTATTAGTATACAACATAACAGCAAGGAGGTCAGATGTGATTATGTGAAGGCTTTTAGCGTGTCAAGCACGCGGGGCTGCTACGTGCCTGTCGGCAAAGTAATACTACAAACATGTCCGGGATGAATATAATGATCCTAGTTTTTTTTTTGAATGTCAATAATGATCCTAATGAACGGCTAGTAGCGCGTGTTCGATGACAGCACGTTACCACCGCTAATTGCGGCACAAACGATAGCATAAGCTGCCGATCCAACTCCCTTGGAGTAAAAAACCATGAAAATACCACTGCTCACGCTCACGTAGTAGTAGAACACTGGATGAGAGAGAGAGAGAGGAGCGGGAAAGGAAGAGGTTCCTCCGTCTCCGTCCAGGCTAGTTCACGTGCTCCACCGGTGCGGAGACGAAGCTGTACACCGCCTTGCCTGCCCGGCTGCCCTTTCCTTTCCTTTCCCTCTCCTCTCCCCATCCGATCCGTTGCGCGCACATGCCCAGCCACCGAGGCTGCTGGCTGCGCTGCGCGAGACACCCGCGCTTTCCGGCTAGCTAGCAAGCTAGGTGGCGCGTCACGCGTGGTCGATCGCGTGCCTCTCCGCCTCCGCTCCGCGCGCGCCCACAGTCACAGACTCACAGGCCTCATGCTCATGCGCCGCGCGCGTCGTGCTAGCCTAGCAAACCACCAATTGGTCGAGAGCGACATGCACCGCCGCGCTGCGCCGGCCTGGCATAGCTTCACGCACGCACGAGGCACGATCCGCGAGCTTGCTAGCGCGCGCACCTGCCGGTGCCGATCCATCCTGCTGATGCCGCCAGCTAGCCAGCCAGCGCGCATCGCCACGTTGCCGTGCGCTCCACCGGCGGGGTGGGGGTGGGGTGGTGGCCGGCCTTTACAACCAGGAGCCCCTCGAGAGCGATCCAAAGGGGGTGCGCCATTGTGGCTAGCTTAGCTAGAGCACGAGACGAGAGCTCGCTCCGTCGCATGGCCGCGCGGATCGGAGGACAGGACCGGATCGATCGGCCCGCCGGCCGGGCCGGGAGACACGGCACGTTCGACCGCGACGCGTGGCCTGCCCTGCGCCCCTGCCTGGTGTGCCCGCGCGCCGCGCGCGCGCGGAGACGACGGGCGGTGACTGAGATGAGGTGGGCGCGTCACGTCACGTCACGTCACGTCACGGCGGATCAGCGCGTGTATGATGTGCCCCGGCCGACGCAGCTGCTGCCCGGCCTATGCGCGTGCCGCCGGTGGGGCGACGCCTACTACTACATGGGTCCGGCTCCGGCCGGTCTATCAACGGTGACATGGACGGTGCGGTGCATGCATGAACCCAACAAACGTACTGCGCGGTCCCATGGCCGCATCACCTGCAGTTTGCTGTAGCGCACACGGCACACGTACCTCCGTCCGTCCCTCTCTCCCTGGCGCGTGAAACTGAGCTCAAACCACGGGCGTCTCGCCAGCAACCATGGCCCGCGTGCGTCGACTCACTCAAGTCACCTGTGCTACCAAATCTGGGCGAAGCGATGGATAGGATAGCATGCACCAGTTAAGGGGCCGCACCACACCTAGCTAGCTAAGTAGGTGAGGCATCAGCGGCTAAGTGCCTAGCTTAGCAACGGCTCCAGGTCGTTGCGGCAAATACGACAAGGCGCATGTGTCTCGCACAACCCGGGAAGATTCGCGGCCGTTTCCTCTTGCGGCGTAGCAGTAGCAAAACATGCATTGGGGGGAGGATGATTCTTCAGTTCAGATCGACGTTTAAAATGATGGGATCCCATGGATCAAATCATTGGGAGGTCAGTGGATGGCGTCGTGGTCTGCTCTGCCATGCTCTGATCGGAACATTCCCTCTGCCACTCTCTGCAAACTGAGGAATCCGTTTAGGGATCAGTAAACAACTCCCGGCGCCGATTAGTTTATCAGCTGCCGGTGGCTCTCCTCGCTGTCAGCCGTACTTTTTCAGCGACGGAATAGTATTTTTCTCTCCCAACAAATCAATCAACAGTATTTTCCAGCCAAGCGAATAGAGCCTGCTCGCCACTCAGATCTGACCCCGGCCTATCGAGGGTTGGGGGTTTTGGCATCACGTGGCCAACGCATCCATCCAACACCGCAAGGAGCGGTGGCAGTAGCGGTAGCGCTTGCTTTGTTGCTGCCTGGTGCCTGCCCAGTGCCCCCTGCCTGCAGGAGTAACCAAAAAAATCACCAGCCGGCACTCGGCAGTACGTAGTAACCGGCTTCCGGCTATTAAGTGCCGAGATGGCCGGGGCGCTGATGATTTGTTGTGCTGTGCTGATTTTCGGGTTAGATTACGCACTACTGGAAACTCGAATATTTCTGTGGATGATTATTTTTTCTATGCGTTTTTCTCAGAACACACAGAAAATTTGTTATTTTTCTGTCGGTATCAAAAAATACCCACATAAATATCAAAAAACCGACAGAATAATCGAGTTATTTTTCTGTGCGTGACAATACACACAGAAACTGATGGCGAGCACAACTGGAAACACAGGGCTGGTCTTTTCTGTCTACATGCCATACAACTCGACTTCTGAGATTGTCAATGCTGTCAGTGAAGTCTGTGCAGAAAGGAAGGAACTGTTGCAGAGTGAACATGCTGGCGACTGTAATGGCCACGCTGCAAATAACGGTGTGCATTCAGAGATTTCAGTGGCGGATTTGGATCGCCACATGTATAGCACTGGCTGCCCAGATCCTGATATCGTCATCCGAACTTCAGGCGAGACTCGACTGAGCAATTTCCTCTTGTGGCAAACAACGTTTAGTCACTTGCAGAATCCAGATCCTCTGTGGCCCGAGTTCTCTTTCAGGCACCTTGTTTGGGCTATATTACAGTATCAGAGAGCTTACCCTTACCTAGAGCAGAACAGAAAGCTGGCTAAGAAGCAGTTGTGAATGTGATTCCATGTTATTTTTAAGGAGATACCAGGAGGGTTTTGAACATTTCAAGTTGTACAAAACATTTCTAGGGTGCATTAATGAATGTGCTGAACATTTGGATCTTTATATGTATGCTATCTATTATGTTGTGATGAAATTACAGTATGGAGAGTCCATATTTAATATGTTGTTGCTACTGTTCTGTTTCTATATAATTATTGTATTCAATTTGCTGCATGGTTAAGGTTTTTTCTGTCGGTGGTCGGTTATTTTTCTGTGCGTTAACCGAGATCGACAGAAAAATAAAAATTTTCCTATGAGTGCCTCTACGCAATTTTTCTGTCGGGCTTTTCCTTTTTTTTGTGGGGATTAACGAACACAACATTTAAATTTAATCTGGGCTAAGGTAATTTTTCTGTGCGTGTAATACCTACAGAAAAAATCATTTTTCTGTGCGTGTAACACCCACAGAAAAATCATTTTTTTGTCGGGCTGTTCTTTTTTTCTGTGAGGATTAACGCACACAATATTTTAATTTAATCTAGGCTAACGCAATTTTTCTGTGCGTGTAACACCCACAAAAAAATTATTTCTGACGGTGAACACACAGAACAATTGAATTTTTCTGTTGTTATATTTCCGTGGGTATCTTTTTGAGGGTACACCGTCAGAAAAATATTTTTCTAACGGTATTCGCATTTTTCTGTGTGTTTTCGCACGAAAAAAGCGAGATTCCAATAGTGACAGGACACGGATCTGTTTTTTAGGGGAGGGGCATGTGGGTTTGGGGCTTTTGCAAGTGAGTTGTCCCCGTCATGGCGTGGGTGCCGCCGGCACGTGAGTGGCCCGTCGATTTGGATTTCTGATTAGTGATGATAGACACTAATCGGAGCTCACCACACAAGCTACAGGTCGCGACTCAGGTGTACCAATAGAGAGGGTGCACCGCTGATTAAGAAGTGTTCAAGGCACTAAAATTCTCCACTGCTAACCGGGAAATTGCACGGATAATTAAAACAGAGAGCATGTTTTTGGACAGCTTCGAGACGGTACACGTCGTTTTTCTCCGGTGCATCGCCGCCTCAACAGAGAATCTATACAGTAATGGCTAGTTGGATGTCTAGGCTTGTATATGGGCACCAGATTTCTCCGGTGCTGCACCAGAAAATGCACGGAAGAGTTCTGGTTTGTGTTTTTCGGCTGAGTGGTCGCCTATTTCACCTAAAGGCTAAAGGCTATGGTCTCGTTGACCCAATGGGTAATATGATCCACCCCATATGTTTTTCTGCTGCCATGGGCCATGAATACTATCGAACATATTAAAGCAGCATCAAATTAAATAAGTTTCTAAGTGGACCGTGATTTTAGTTTTATCTATTTTTACTTTCAAAATATGCTATTTCTCGACCACTTCCGAGTATAGATGTGCTTACAGATCTAGATAAAGGAAATTACACTTAGTCACAACCTGAGATGTCAGGACGAATATACACACTTAGGCTTAACAATGGGGTTAGCAAAGTTTTAACAAAGGTGGACTTTTGGGTCGTGGCAGTACCTCTCCTTATTGGAGCTAAGCGACTCCGAACATGTTAATTCCCTACCATCCTTCTTAATAGGAAATTCTCCCCTTGTATCATCTGAGATTGAATGCCTTTATGACCATCTTAGCCAATCTATTGGATCGTTCCCAGATTTCCGAGTCGGAGTTATGCTACCTTATTTTTCTCATCATAATGCCCTGTGTCTGTAGACTGTAGCGGAGTAATATGCTTATCCTCATGAAGTGCATAGTCAAGGTCCATGGCCTTGAGAATGTGAACACATCTAGGCTCTAATGTGGTGAATTTGGAGTTTCTGTGATTGATGAACGTATAGAAATGGCCTGTCTCGAAGATTTATTCCATTATCACGTCATTTGTTCCAATATGTCTTAGAATTAGACTCCATACCATTGATGGATGTGTCTTGGAATTGGACCCCGTAGTCGCTGAATACGTGTTGTTCTAACTCGTATGAGATGGGATTGTGAGTCCGAGTCACATATAGGACATGAGAGACACAAATAGACAAATAGATCTCAAACACGCTTCTTTAATTTGCATGTGCCTCTCTTTCACTCATTTTATACATGGTGACTATAACTCTCCCTATTCTCCACGTTGCAGTTCTCGCTAGAAATGATATGACACACCTATAGGGAAAAATCTTTTTATTTATCGCTTAACAGTCTGATTTGTTTGGTTATTTGGTACATAGATTGAACTGTGAGCTAACCCTGAAATTGGATAATAACATGTGTATAATTTTTTTTAAAAACACGACATTAGCTTAGGCCCCGTTTGGCAGGGCTTCTCTATCGGCTTCAGGAGCCATTTGTAGCTGTTTTGTGCTAAACGGGTAAAACAAAATGGCTTCATTCAAGAAGCCCCTTAAATCGTGCTCTCACAGATGTTTGAAGTGAGATGGAGCCAAAACATAGTGGCTTCACCCAGCTTCACTTCATCCTGCATAGCGTTCTGTGAGAGCATGTTTTAAGAAACTATATACGTGGAACTGTTTTGCCAAACGATTTACCAACGGCTCCAGCTCTACCGATGGAGCTGAAGCAAAAAAAAAAAACAAATTCACCAGTGAAGTGAAGTCGTGCCAAGCGAGGCCTTAGTAGTAAAATTCTTCTAGTCATTCCATTCGCTCCTCTCTAGTTAAAAAAAAGGTACGAAACCAAACACGTGTCATTCAAGGAGAAAAGAAAACTGAAAGAAAGGAAAAGGGGGGAAACATGGAAAAAAGACAATGAAAAACAAAAAAAATGAGAGGGAAAATTGAAAAGCTAGAGTCCTTCGATCTGCATTTGTAGTCTAGAAAAAAAAACGAAGCTAAAGACACGAAGGGGAAAAGAAAACTGACTAAGGAAAACTAAATAAAAAGGGGAAAACACAGGAAAAAAGACAACGAAAAAAAGAAAAACATGAAAAAAAGAGAATTGGAGGTTTATGATGAGGATTTTTGTCATCGTGATCATCTGGACCGTTGGCTCCAGGTTGTTGTTAAACCAGGAATTGAAGAACTGGGCCTTAAACCTGGTTAGACTGACCAGGGCCAGAAATATATTACAACCTCCCATGCCCACTTTTATCTGGTGGAATTGGAGACACACTTAAGTATCTCTCTCTTTCAAACTGTCAATTTCATCCCACTGTCAGTACTGGCTGCTTGAGAAGCTTGATAACACTAAAGCTAAATTCGGTGCATATTGAGGCCGATGAGCTACGGTGTCTTCTTTCCTGTTCTCTTTCTTTGGAGCGGTTGGAACTCTGGTATTGCCAGAACATAGTTCATCTGAAGATACCGTGCCTGCAGGCAGTGGCGGACCCAGGATTTTTGCATAGTGTATGCGCCGTAAAAAAAATTCTTATACAATTCGGTAAGCCATTTACAATTCGGTAAAACCATATTATAATTCGGTAAAACGACGTCAAATCTTAATATAAATTGTTCAAATGAAATACAAATACTTCGAAATATAACAACAGGAGACTTACAATATTACTTGTTTATCCACCGCTTTCTCAATGACATGAATATCTTCATTATATCATCTTCATTAACTTGGAAGAAAATATCCCGCTCAATAAATGTGACTAGACAATCATCCAAAACAGTATCACCTATCTTATTCCTTGACTTTGTTTTCACTATAACCAATGCAGAAAATACCCTTTCAACACTCGCAGTTGCCACTGGTAAAAGAAATATCAATTTGAGAAGCAAGTACACCATATCATACACTTTGTGCCTCTTTGTTTCAACAAGCTTAACTGAGAGATCAACAATGCTGTCTAGACCTTGGAAGCTAGCATCTTATCGCATGTCATCAATATAATTATCAAGTTGCAATTCAAGTTTTAACAAATCATTGTTGGAGAAGTCCTTAGGATAAAATTCAGCCAATCTACGTACCTTCCGTGCATCAAAAGAAGCAAAGGAGTTGGAAGGACTGAAGGCTGACATACAAGAGAGTAGCTCCATATTGATCTCATCAAACCGATTATCAAGCTCTTGACTAATTTGATCAATGACACCAATGTATACTTCTCTTCGGAAATGGTCATCATTTGTTTGGTTTCGGGCACGAGCATACCGTGCTGATTTTCCATAAGGCACATAAGCACCATCCATAGCAGGAACTTCAACACCATGTTTAATACAAAAAGAAGTGACCTTCTGAAGAAAATTATCCCAACCATTAGACCTCAACTCCTGCATTCTGCTCTTTGCTACATTAACAAGTGAGATTGCATTAAGAATATCTTGATCCCTTCTCTGCAAGCACTCGGATAACTCATTTGTATATCCAAGAATAACATACATTAAGTGCACAAAGAAAACAAACTTAAAGGTTTCAAATGCTCCAAGCACAAAATATATCTTTGTCCAATCTTCCTTATATGCATTATCAGCACCAAGTTCAATGAGCACATCATGAATTGAGGAATATATAGTGATGATGCTACATATAGTTTTGTAATGAGAGCCCCACCGAGTGTCACCAGGCCTAGGCAAACCCATCTCTTGATTTAATCCACTCCCTGATTCAAGCTCACCACACTCTAGTGCTTTCTTGACATTCTCAAGCCTAGTATTTCGAAGCATATCATGACGCTTGCAAGAAACCCCAACAATGTTCAACAAGATAGATACTTGATCAAAAAAAGTCTTGCAGTCAGTATTTCCTTTGGCAACAGCAACAAGAACTAGTTGGGATTCATAAAACCAATGTACCTCTCTTGAGCTGCTTTATGTGCCCTAGAACCAGAATGTTTGAGAAGTGCTGTGTTTCCTATATTCCAATTATTCCATCCATCAACAATGAAAGTTTTTGACCCACTGCCCTTCTTGAACAAGTAGCATATGAAGCAAAATGCAGAATCATTCTTGACACTATATTCAAGCCAATCATAATTATACAACCATTGTATACTGAATCGACGAGGTACGTCTCCAATGTTTCG